TGGAAGAATGATGCATCGGTGAAGACCATTTTGTGTATACCCGATAGTGTGCTTGACCTTTAGAACAGTGTATTTTCTCTTTGCTTATGAACCCATTATCTGCCTTAGAAATGTTAGTTTCTGTATTGCAATCTTAAACTCCATAATGGACTCTGTCAACAGCATACCTTTGCAGCCATCAATATAAGTCATCTCTGCAAGAGCTGGTTTGTTACAATTCCATATCTGCAGTTACCCTTGCAACCCCACACATCATTACTTTTCTTAATTCTCCTGGAGCAATGACAGTATTCTTGAGTCTTTGCATTTTCCCAGTCAATTTTTTTGTCAGCTTCTTTTCTAATCTCTCGCTGGAGTTTTTAGTTTTATTAAGTTGATGAATTTCAAACTTTGGGTTTGTTTACACTGCAGCGTTTGCTTGTACATATTTGTAAAACCAGCAGATTTTGGTTTGAAGGAGTTTTTCCATTCAGTTTACTTTTGTAAAGGAAAAATGCTCTATGAAAACTCATTGGAAGCTTACAGTACATTGCATTTTGCATGAACAGCTTAAGCAATAATATTCCTTTGAATGTTGAAATAATGAGGCATATAAATGTCAATTTCCTATTTTTAAATTTGCTTTTAATTGAAAATTTTCAAATTAAGTTATCTAAATAGACAACCATTCAGAAAAATGGTTCCAATTAATAAAAAAATAGCAAAAATATGGCCGTGCCCTGCTTTGGAATGAGATGTTCTATTTCAACAATGGCAGACTAGTCCAGAGAAAGGAGGAAACTGGCTCTGTGAGGGACAGGCAGGTGATCGAAGGTGATGACAGAAGGTGCCCACGACAGTCCAGGATCATCACATTCATCTGGCTAATCTACATAAGCATTATCACTCTGCACTGACTGTAACATGAGAAATCCCAGTATAAAATAATGCTGAAATGTAGGAGATGAAGTTACTGCAGGTGAAAGAATGTGAAGATGTGGCATTTCTTTGCCAATAAATACTGCTCTACTTTGCCAAGGCAGCAAAGAAGAATTTGTCTGTGGAGATATTGTAGTGAGCATAATTTTGGCTATTGCATTATTCATCTTCTTGATACTGTTCACAGGGGTAGCATGCAGATGACGAATCTCATTGTACACCAGAATGCTTTAGCTGCACATTTAGGGCATTACGTTGTTGAGTGTTTGCACTAGCAGGTCTTGCTTTTCTGCAAGCCACCTGGAAGCATTAGTTTTCCAGCAGGACAACGCAAGACCACACAGTGCCAGAATTACAATGGCATGACTTCAAGAAAACAATATCAGTGTCTTGCCTGCTTTTTCTCCTGTCCCTATACCCACGTCATTAATGCATTAAGGATTATCGTCTATAATGCGATGGACGCCAACCGTGATTGTCCAGTGCTCACCAGCTGGCTGCAGGTGCAGGTGTCGTAATATCCCACAGCTGTCTATCCGGAGGCTGATCAAGTCGGTACATCGACCCTGCCAAGATTGTGTTAGCACTCAGGGTGGTCATAGCTGATACGAACTTATACTGTTTTCATTCTGGCAGTGTCATATTTCGTAATGAACTCTTGCATGATGTTCATTTGCATTTTTATCCACATTTACTGTTATTTTGTTAGGTATCTATTTTTAAAATATTGTATGGAATCCATGAGCGTTGCGTTTCTTCTGTGCATCAGTACTGTGTACAGTATTTCTTTGTTTTTCTCTATTCATGATGGTTTGATTTTTTGATCAGCTTCTGTAAGGACCTCTATTGATTTATAATGGAGAGGGGCCATAGTGCTGTTAGGTTTTTTTATAGCCCCCTGACATCAAAAGTAAGAGTGAAAGCACTTTGCCACTTAGCAGTGAGCATGTGTGTCAAGTCAAAGATCATGTCTTAGAAAAGGGTTGTTCAAAGTGGTAGGTTTCTCTTATTGGTCCTTCTTAATAGTTCGGTTGTGTCTTAACTAATAAATAATCTGTCTTCATCTGATTTTCAGTAATTCCTTAAGTGACCGTCCCCAAAACACACTGCTGGATTTATTGTTTTAAAACTTAAAGCTTACTTACATTTTATAATTTACCGGTGAGATCTTCAGTAAAAGCAGTGCCTTTGTTTGAAATACCAGTGTATTTGTACTTCAATAAGTGCCGAGCTATCAGACACTTAGCTTTTATTACCTTCCTTGTAATTGTGGCTGATTCATAGGTTCAAACAGTTGTCATTCTTTTTATTGCCTGAGTGCCAGAGAAGGTACTTCTGGGAGAGAGGGAATGACTGGGTTCAGTGCAATCCACTGCTGGGAACAGTGAGTAGAATTCTCTTTCTCTTAGGAGGAACTGGAAAACCGAAGCAGAGCTGGTTAAGGCAAACCTCTGAGCTGTCTCTGCCAAGATGGTCTTGTTTTATGTCTTCCCCGCAGTGCACACTTGAGGGCAGACAATTTGTTTAGAGTTGTGAAGCTCCTGCACTGAATCGTGGAGGATTATGAGATCGCTCTGTGATTTGTGGAACTGTGCTCTCTGTGCTTCACCATACCGCCCTCTTGCCACAGGCAGTCCTAGCACAGACCTCGGTTGTGTTAAGTCCCTCTACTTCTGAATGCTTACATTTGTGAGGCCTAGTCCTGAGGTCCCCCAAGGGAAGGAGTTATTCTTTAGTTTTATGGATTATAATGTTTAATGTTCTGCTGAAAGATGAATTTTCTTTGCATCGCATTTTCAGATTTATTTAATGCCTCTCTTGCCAGTTGCTTCTTAACCACACTGTCACTGGGAAAGATTGATTTGATATTCTGAATAGTTTAAAAATGGAAATCCTCCTTTTTACAGGACCCAACTTAACCCTTCTGTCTTCTAAAAACTAACAATAAAAACGAATCGGCCTTTCAAAACATCCCCTCTCTTATTGATTCAAACTGATTGCACTGCAGCTTGGGTTCAGCGGGATGAGACTGGGGGCAGAAACATCCCTTTGCTCTAAGGAGTATGTGAAAAAAGTGAAAAAAACAGGACTGAAATCAGCTAACTTTGTGATCTGTTTATTTATCCTAACAGCATAGGATGTGAAATAAAAAAACGAATCAGACTACAGTAGATGCTGTGCACAGGGTTATCATATGAATCTGCTCCACCCATGTGCTCAACAAAGAACTTTTACTGCCTGAGAAAGATGGATCGGTTTTGTTTTCCTGACATTCTTGCAGCATGTTTGTCTTAAAACAGACCTTAATTTGATATAACGTCCACTCATGATCCTTTTGAACATTGCTGTAGAACACAGTCCAGAAGTGTTCCAACCTTGAAATGATAAAAAATGTGAATTATTGGTTTGTTTGTCAAGCTCTTAAACCCTAAAGTGCATTATTAAACAGAGAATGTATTGGAAGAGTATTGTTAAAAGTGTTTTAAAAATCTTGTAAATCCTGGTAATTTATGTCATTGTGGTCGAGGAGGCTCACCCGGCCCTTCTGTTTTCAATTTGAGCCGAGCTCTGATCTGGGTGTATGTACCTGTAAAGCTGTGTTTTTCTAGCTACGATTTACAGTCGTGACCTCCGGTTTTTAACAGATCTTCGAAAAAGCGCTGCAGCCTGCCTCCCAGGCTCCAGAGAGAGCCAACAATAGGTCAGCCCCCCCCCTCGCACCCCACCCCTGTCTTTTGTATCGTCCCTTTGTAATCAAACTTGTCTGGGAGTGATTTGATTTTAATATTAGTGAGCCGGATAGCACGACTGCGTTGAAAGGGTTTGGTGTGGCTGAAAGGATGTCAGCACAGTGAGGATTCCATTAACAGTATTGCTTCATTTCTTAATGTGCCTGATGACTCTGAGAACAGGGGCTGAGCCTCATTTATCCTCCTTTTCTCTTCTCTCGGGCTCGGCAGGGCCAGCCTGGTCCACTAGTAAAGCTCTGCAGATAGGTAGGAAGATCAGGCTTTTGAGCCATCTGCTGCAGTCCACCGGCGAGACTGAGTCCTGTCATACAGCCCTCTGCCTGTGCAGTGAAGGGTATTCAACAGTTAGAGAGAGGTGATGCTAAGGTGCTGCAGACTTGTTGGGCTATTCTGTTTTGCAATTTGAGTACCTTAGATCGACTGGTGCTCTATGACTGGAGTTTGAATTGAGAATGGCTGTGTTTTAGAAGACCTCTAGAAAAGACTATTCCCTTTAGTGAACTTGCAGAGCTTATGCAACTTGTGCTTAAGGGGGAAAACATTTAAGGACATATTTTATGGTGGGGAGGGCACCCAAATGATTTCGTTTTCTTGTGGTTTTCTTGTTTAAACTGATGGGTTTTTTTTTTCCATTTCACAAAACGTCAAAGGCAGTAAACATCCTTATTGACCGTTTGGAACAGGACTTGAAGTCTGAGGGGAGTTGTAGCTCATATCTTCAAGGGGAGGGAGAAACCCCTCACTGTTCCGTTGTCAGTGGAACCGCAACCATGCAAAATACCCACCGTCCACGTCTGGTGCAGTAAACAAACTTCCACTAGCAAAGGGACCCAAAGCAAGAACATAGAGTTCCTCACAAATAGCATGTAAGACACAAGTATGAAGTCCTGCTTGTGGAAAGCCTATACTGGCTGCCACATGCACAGTGTGAAGTAGAGCCCTGGCATGCACACAGCTTATAACTTCCACAAAGCCTTTCAGGAGTGCACACTACCTACAGCTGGCCTGTTTTCAGGCTCTCTTTACAGTGATGCCTGCAGTCGAAGTCCTAACGGAGATGTATACAAATGTTAAAATGGTAATGCAATTTCTAAGACAGAAAATAAGGAATGGCCAGCACACGTCATATGAGCTTTCGGCCATACCAGTTCAAAGAACCTTTTAAAAATAATTTGTAACCCTATCTTTTAGTATATAGAATGCAAGTCCTTGCAAAATCCATTTGACCTCTGTTTCCTTTTTAATATTTTTTAAATTTTGAACAAGATTTATGGGGTTTTTGATTCACAGCCGGCAGTGTGACGGAGTAGCTGTGCTTTGTGTGTGTTCCAGGTAATCGTGCAGTCTGGCAGGCAGCCCAGTGTGCTGCAGAAACTGTGTCAGCTGCCTTTCCAGTACTTCAGCGACCCGCGGCTCATCAAAGTGCTCTTCCCCACACTCGTCTCCGCCTGCTACAACAACCCCCAGAACAAGGTCATCCTGCAGCAGGAGATGAGCTGCGTCCTGCTGGCCACGTTCATACAGGTAGGCCCTGCCTCGCGCCTTCGCAGTGTCCTGCTAAACCTCCTCCCCAGGTCCGTGACGTATCCTGGACAGGGGTAATCTGTGAACACGGTGTTCCTGCGCATAATCACTGCGCATTCGCCTTTTGTAACTGCTAATGAGCTCTGATTTTGTTAAAGCTGTGTTGGAAGTTAAAAAAATGCTTTTCTTTACCTGATCCGTATCTGACAGAATATTCACTGTTACACATCATACCACAGCTTTAGTGATACGAGTCAAAAAGCAAATTTGACGCATACATTCTTGTTACTAATTAAATGGTAACTTGGTTGCTATATTAGTTGCTTTTTATGGGTTTCTACCCTTGACAGAACTCTTCTGTGTCTAACATTTTCTAATGGCATTTTAGTCATTTATTTATATGAGTAAAGTTCAGAACAAATCCGTTCACTTCTCTTGCACCAAGTGTGCAGATAATATTTGTTGTGCAGGTTCTGCTTCAGTTTCACAATGGGGATATTTCAGTACATCTCATCAGGTCTTTGAGCTGTAAACTACAGTGCTACTGCGCGTTTCTCGCCACAACATCCTACTGGGTAAAAATGTTAACTGGGCTTCTTGACTGTTCAGAACTGCAGTCAGTACAAATGGCCTGTTGCTAATTTATGTCGGATTTACCTGCCATGTGCTGACTCCCTGGTAAACAGATTCCTTTTTTATCTTCCCTGCCAATCTCCCCTCTTGCTCCCTGGCTACCTAGATTATTTATTTTAAGATTAGTTTTCCTTAAAAAAGAGAGAGAAAATTGTCACTTCGTTCAAACACTGAAAAGATGTATTGCACCCTGGTCTGTTTCTCTTGAGGGCTTCTTAGTGAGCACAGACAGTTTAGCAGTATTTAGGCTGAGCAGTATTTAGGCAGGTCGTTGTCTTCTTGTGCAACAGGGAAGATATTCATAAGTGGTTTTCTTTTTTTACACCAGCCTCAGATGAGGATTATATGTGTTGCAATGCACGAATTAAATAAAACAAAATGACTCTGGTCTGCCAGCGTTTCATCCAGGTTTGAAAGCAAAAGTAAAGTCTATACTGTACATATGTTTGGTGTTAAAGTTTTTTCTTAAAAGGCCTCCTTGGATCAATAAAACACAGCTTCTCAGGTGTTCTAAAGAGATGTTGATATTCACCTTTTATTATTTGTGTAACCTAAGATTAGAGTTGAATAAATTGTTGTTTCTGTAATCTAAATCAGTCATTACTGAGCTAAGATAAATCTATTTTTTGCTTGCCAGATGAAAGGACTTGATAATGAACACACAGGTGTTTACATACATACTGTAACTGAAAGCACTTTGCAGGTGTCAGGAGTTTTCCACGTCTATTTTTCATAATACATGGTGCCTTGTAAAACTTGTATAACTAGAAAGAACCCAATACATAGAATTTAAAGGTCCTATTCAATGAGAGAGGCAGAATTTTGTTAAGGATTTGCATTCATCTTATGTTTCTATAGTCAGTGTGAATTGCTGGGACAGCTGTCAGACTAATATTGATTGATTTAGGATTTTCGAAAGACTTCCAATGCTTAGCTTAGCCGACAGCATTTTTGCTTGTGTTTGCTTAGGATTTTGAAGAAGATTCAGTGCACGGCTTTATTTTTTTTTAGGCACTGATGGCTTGGCAGTATGCTCACAAGTATGCTCCTTCTCTAACAGATGAGTAACAGAACTCCACAAAACATTCTTCCTTCTGCGCTGACTAAGGCACTGTAACACTGTCTTCTTTTCCCCAGGATTTTGCTCAGAGCTCAAGCCAGACAGAAAACAGAACATCCCAGCAAGAAGGTTGGTTTTGACTCAGTCCTTGTCTTTGTGAGATATTTCAACTCTCTGCACTTTTAGTTTTTATTAGGTCCAATATCCATCAGGTATTTCATTCATCATTTGTAATGCTAAAATAACATTTGTGAAAGACGATTTTTGAGAGTCTGTGTGGGCGAACTGTGTTATTACACATGAAGATCACAATGGATTTTTGTTGATAAGCTTTGTTACCATTACAAGTTATTGATGTGCCATTTGTGTTTGTTTTTTAATAGTTTTCTGATATTTAGACATAATTTTCTACACTGATTGTACAGGCATGGGTGATATTGTTTTTATTTCCTATTCACTGGCCTTTTGCAGAATCACATTCTTCTTATTAAAATATTTAAGGATCTTGTCACAAAACTTTAGCAGTGGAAAAGAAGTACTTATAATTGTGGAGTCCTGGCTTAATGGAATACCAGCTGGGCACGGTGCAAAGCAGACAGCTTGAGCTACCACAGGTTCAAGCTCAGATTCCCTTTAGAGGCACAGCACTGGAGAACGGCAGGCAGGCTGCATCTTTACAGCTCTTCCTGTTACAGGCTTTTTAGATTACACACTCTGTCGTAACTTCAAAAATAAGGACACCAGTTCTTAAAAAATAGCTTAATAAGTTCACTTTTTAGAAACAGCCTTTATACAATGCAAACAAAAAATGGAGACATGTCTGAACTATGAGCACCTTTCAGACATACAAAGTCAGGTATCACCTGAAGCTCCCAGAATGGAATGAATGAGCAATACATCAGTTCTAATGGATACAAGGGGCCTAATTAATTTAGCCAGCCCTGCTGCCATTTACTGTAAGTGTGCTTTTCAGCACGTCACCTTCTTAAGACAGGTCCTCATGTTTCTTTTCTTGTTGCAGGCCCTGATTATGCAGGTATCGCCTTTGACAGAATCCAGGGGGATCATTCTGTGGCTGTTTAGAAGGTTTCAGAACTGGGTCCTAATTTATCTTCTCTTTCTCTCTCTCTCCCTCCTTTCAGAAAAAGTCTCTCAGTCTCTGGACTACCTCGAGCTGTCAAATCGCTTCCCCCGAGAGCTGTGGGATGCAGCACTGCAGTTTTTCCTGAAGAAGAAGGATGATTGATTCTGTGCAATGGATTGTCTTTTCTAAACAGACCAATTAGCTTGAGCAAATTCTCAATGAAAAATGTTACACTACAACCCCCAAAAAAATCATGTTTTGCTTTGTGTTTTCTCATATGGAAGGCTAACTTCACTGCGAGGATTTGTTTAATGATAGTCTCACATGGGCACTTAAAATTCAGCAGACACGACAAGCTGTTTTCTTATGACCTTGCCCAGTGTTTCTCAGCAGTGTCACAGATAGAATTAAAAGGGGTGACTGAAATACTGGGGTATTTAACTGGAAAAAAAACACAGAAAATAGAAAGCACATTTAAAACAAATTAGTAATTGGTTTGTGAGTGAACAGCTCTTTTGATATATATTCAGTACTTGGTTTCAAAAAGCACTGTTATAGAAAGGCTGGGCAGATTTTCTTGAGTTTGAAGTTTCTGGATTTTGTATTCCATTATTTTTATATATACATTGTTTTCTGTAATTTACACTGTTCATGTGTCTAGGTGCTGTACATAATGTTCTCTTTTTGTACTCATGAGCCATTTGAGGTTTTTGGGGTTCCTCATTTGAGTGTGAAGATGCCACATGTAAAGTCTGCAATACAAAGCACTGCAACAGAATATAATTTATTCCATAATTTAAGTTTGTATCACATATAATAAAATAATTTATTCATTACCCATTTCAAAACTGCTTTTTTTGTGTGTTCCACAACAGTTCTTTGTGCTTTCCATCGTGTCTTCTTTTCCTGGTTGGTCCTGGCACCTCGCGTGAAATTAACAGAGATCGAGGGACCTGCAGTTCTGATTTGGACTTGATTGTGTGTGTGTGTGTGTGTGTGTGTGTGTGTGTGTGTGTGTGTGTGTGAAAAGTGAGGGACTACAATGCTTTCTAGTTAGACCTGGAAACATGACATACCCTCTAACAAATGTGCAGGTTCTCCTTTCCTCCTCTTGGCGTCCGACCCAAATCGGCTGTGAGCCTCAGTCACCTGTCCTTTGTTCATTTACCACTCACCTAGCCACACCAGGACGACCAAACCAGTCTCACTCTCTTTCCCGACTGGGGATCCCTTGGCACCCATCACCCCTGCCCTACTCCTCTCCACCCTTTTTTGTTTAATGTGGTCTCTCCCGGTTTTTCGGGTTTTGGTTTTTGGCGCCTTATTGATCCAACACTCACAGGACGACTTCCAGCTCTATGGAGACCCAGGCAGGCCCTCTCACCTTCCCCTCTCACGCCTCTTCGAAAGGAAGGGGGTTTACTCACTCGTCAGGTTTGGACGGCCTTAACAGCCGTCTCTTAAATCGGCGGGAAGGAAATTCCTACAACAGTATGGTCTGATTCAGCAAGACATTGGTACAGCCCGACGGAATTTGCAGTCCTGTTTCATTCCGCAACTCCTGGCTCCAGTTTGTGCAGACGGCAGCTTCCCCCTTCGCCGTCTGTTCGCCACCGCCATTCACTTGCTCAGACTTTTGGTATGAATACTGTATTTGATTTCTCCTAGTGTTTATGTGGATGAGATTTCCCTCAAAAAGTCACTTGCGTGGAGGGGTTCGACTGTATTATAGTTTCTGACCCCGTATCGCCAAATCACACGAAAAGCTCACCACACGACAGAAACGCTGCGACGGAATTCGGCCATTCGATACCTGCACGACGTACAGCGCGGGAAGTGCACTCATTTCCCTTTGGTTTTAACCATTTATTATTGCGCTAGCGCAGTCCTGAAGTGCCTGCGGTGAGGATTACACCATCTATTTTCGTTCTCCGAGCTGGGCTGCTACGCTCCCGGGAGAAGCAGAGCGGGCTGTTTGTTTTTCTTTCAGTTAATGTGAAGTACAGACACACCTCATTGAAACAGCTGATAAGAAGATCCAGATATCGAACATTATCTGATATTTAAACAAATACTGTAAACCGCAGAAACCTCTCGATTGTTTTTTTTCTGATGAGTTTTTTTTTTTGTAACGGTTTCACACGGTTTGACGCCCCTCAAAGAGTCCCTATTTGTTTTAAAACCCAGTTTTCCCTTTTTTGTTGCTTGATTGAGGAGAAATCTCTCGGATTAGATGCTTAAGAGTAACAGATCGTTTCTTGAACAGACCTTCACTGGAAGGTACCGGCACAAGTAGTTTGAATCATAACGGCGCGTCCTTTCCTACAGAGCTGTAAACTAAAAACTCCGTTCTGGTAGGATGTCACAGTCATTTAAGAATTATTTTATGCCTATATATTTATCCAAGAGTGAGTCATATTACAGGCGTTGAATGCGTTTTATCTGGGCTTTTCAGCATTCAGCGACCTTTCCTTTGTCAGCCAGATAATGTGTACTGTATTATATCGGAAGCTGTTTATCGAATTGTAATTTTCAGGATAAGAGACAAGGCGGGAATAAATTCGTAAATTAAAACTGTAACTGTATCAGATAAATCAGGTTTGGTAGGAATAATGTCCCCCGGCTTGCTCTTGGAGTCAGTGGAGTACGAGATAATTCAATGAAACGCTTTGCATAGGGACGTTCAAGCCGTATACTTCCGTTTTTGTTACAGCTGTTGTTGTACTGTTATCATTTAACCATTATAATGATAGCAGGACAATGGGAAACACCAGACAGTGTCTTTCTTTCTATTTCCTGACAAATTTCTAACAGAAAACAATTTATAAATCTCATTTTAGCCTTTTATTTCTGATGTAATTAGTGATGTAGGAATCATTAAATGAGGAATTCCTTTAAAAAAGATCATTTCCATCATTAATCAATAAAATACAAAAAAGTGCGGGAATATCTGAACACAGGTACTGGTACAAAAATTTATTTTAGTTTAAATTTTATATATATGCAGATTGCGTTATTGTAAATAGATGTTCTAGTTTTCGAAGTCTTTTGATACACGAAAATGTATCACATAGTGTGGTGTGGTGCCAAGTTTATTATTGCAGTGCGGGTCGAAAGATATACATTTCATTGTAATGGGAACCGAAACGGAAAAGTTGTGGACTGTGGATGTCAGCCGTGGTTTGAATCAATGCACAGGTAGCCGAACGCTAATGATTACCTTTTGAAATCTTAAAAACAAATTACAGCTGAAGTTAAAATAGTATTTAACGTTTTTCATGTTACCCCCAGTCTTTATACAGAACTCTTGTTCATTTAAAACAAAGTAACCATCCAAATATTTTTAGATTGGCTAAAGAAAATATATCCACGCAAATCGGTTACATTTCGTCAACCTCCGATGTCACTTATGAGCGGATGAGGGTCTTTAAATTGAGGGCAAAGATTAATCAAAGGTGGACTTCAAATTACACGCGTCCTTGTGCTACATTTATTAGAGATTGTTTAATGATTATAAAAGAAATCTAAATGATTAAGTTTCACTTAAAATATTTTGTGCATTTTGTAACCAGATTAAAGTTAAAACTTGGATACTTGGATTAACTAAAATAGATGTGTTATTTTAGTAAAGTATTAACATAATAATAACGACAATAATAATAATAATAATAATAATAATAATAATTATTATTATTATTATTATTGTTTTTATTATTATTATTGTTATTATTATTATTATTCGATTGCCGGAAAACAAAAGCCCCTTCTGGATAACTTGAGTGCCTTGTTCCAATATTATAGCCTCATACTGCAAACATAGAGATATTGGTGTCATCGCTAAGGTGTCATCAATTTTGTTTATATAAATTGATGTTCTTAATTGCAAAAAGCCATTTTTTTCCCAACACGAATCGTTTGCAGACGGCGTTGATCTCCACCAATCAATTAGGCGGGGATCAGCGTTTAAAGAGAATATAAAGGTTTTGATATCAGGCATTGATGTCCGTTTTCCGTTTTTTTATTCATTTCCATGTCGCATGAGGTACGAGGATAAACTATACATTGAAGTACGTTGAAAATGTTAAAATGTTAAAAGATCAAAAATTTAAAGTATGGAAAAATGACCTTCTAGCGTATTTGTGTATACAGTACCCCAAATATATTAATTTAATAAAACTGTTAATCTTGATGCGACTTTTGAAGTAGAGGCGTCTCCTTCATCGGATTTCCAGGAACAGTTGCAGGTAGGCTGAGAATGTACTGTAACAGTTAATGCACGCTTGGACACTTTGCATCCTGTGTTTTTCCGATTTGTGAATCAAGAAAGGGGCGATTTCGAAGCAGAACTGAAGCAGGTTGTTTGTATTCACCTACAGGACTCGAAGGTTTCCGTGAAGAGAGAAATGATAGCAGAGCGTGGTGTACCTGCCTGCCCCGTGTAGCCCTACACGAGTGTCAACCCTTAATTCGAGTGTCAACCCTTAATTCAAAACAGCCCCCTGGACTGGACGCGAACCAAAGAAAAGCTGAAAGTGGAAGATTAAAAATCGAAGCACTATTACCTGTAATTTATATTCACACATAGCCGGCACCCGACGTCAATGAAAAGACTAAATACAATTTTCTAAATTTAGAATGTTTTTATGCGTGTGGATTGTAATGGGGCTGTGTAGCCCATTGACTGTTACAAATGTTCCGTAAGAGGTTTATAACGCGTTTGACTGCAAAGGCTGGCATGCAGTTTTAGTCTACTTTACCGAAATCCGTGACATCACAACCCTTAAAATACGTTTAGTGCATTTTGAAGCTGCAGGACAGGTTTAGGAATCTCATTCTACTGATAATGAACCCTTTATATCAGAAAAAGAAGATGACAGACGTTTTCCACACGATTTTCTATGTTCGATTGTTTTATGCCAAGCCGTTTCAGGAATGTATGTACGAGTGCATTCTGCGTTCAAGTAATCGATTTTTAATTTTCAAAGAGTTCAGTCATAAACTACCTGTGTAAACATTTCTTTCCATGTGTTGCAAAATCTTGCCATACAAAGATGTAATCGGCGGGAGGGTGAGAGTTCAGGTTTTTCCTGGATTTTTTCCTATGCTCACTGTTAGACTGGGGTGTTTCTGAGACTACAGTGTGGTACCGGTGCATTATTTTACTAGAGGGCCGACCTAACGATACTGGGAGCCCTGGCGTGACCAGTCATGCTCTGGTCCAAGCTGCTCTTTGTTAATCTTTAGCTGTTCCTTATCTCCAAGTCACTGCTTCGTTTCCTGCAATATTCCCGAAAGACCTAGGCTGTGCACCCATTAAACATCCATTTTTTTTTCAGGTCTGTTTCTCATTGGAATGACTTGAATCTGGAAGCCGAGGACCCGAGTTTGAAGCAAACCAAAACCCCCTTATTAGATGAGAAAGGAACAGTGGATATTTTACATCGCCGCTCTGTAGTCTAGGACAAGGGGAATATTTGAGCACAATTCATTACAGTGCGTTTAAGGATGATCAGCCGGTCAACATGAAACACGTTTTCGTTGTTAATGTCATATTCATTGCAGACATCATGCAGACCACAATAATTTGTGTACAAGGATATATATTGTTGTAGAAATGTGTCATTACCGCTCGTTTTACACGCGTATAACCGTGGATTATCGAGTATTAAAGATGCATACTTGTTAAAACTGTGACACGCTTAAAATATTGTTTTGGGATGTTAATTCACCATCTTTGTGCATTAATAATGGCTGGATTACAATGACAATGAAAGACATTAAAAGAAAAAAACAAGAAGTGTTGCATGAAACTCTGCCTTCAATTTCCATTTGTGCCCTGGAGTCTGGTGAAGTATTCAGGTAACTCTGTTATTTCCTGCGATCACAAAGCCGATCTTCAGAAACAAATTGTTGACGTTTGAAATGTCACTCCAGGCTGACCTGGGCACGTCGTGTCCAGCGGCGATTCCCAGCCCGGATTCTGACTGGAATGAAAATAAACTGAGGACACGCCAGAGTGGCCTGGGAGCTGGGCTTCCCTTCAATAAGGGAAAGAGAGAAGTGGGTTTGTTGTGGCTTCATTCAATGTATCGTTTTCAGGTGATGCCAAGCACAGATAAGAAGCCGCCGCTCCTTGTCCTCTGTCTAGACTTGTGACTTAACAAGTGAAACTGGATTGATCACATCACAAATCCACCGAGAAGGCAAACGAGCGAGTATCCCCCACCCATTCACACACCCACTCAGCTCCGCTGACGCCCCAGCCCGTTCCAGCGGCACTGAAAGGGTTAGCAACATAAAGGACATCGACAGAAGGAAGTTTTATTGTCGTTATTGTTTTATTCTCCTGGTTTGATGGGAAACAGGCCAGCGCGAAAAGAAGCGTCACGTTGTCAGTTTTATGTTTCTGAAGAGCACCATGGATATCCATTGCTCTACCGCTCGCTGTGGGCCTAAACGAAGATTTGCGTAGTTTATACTGAGGGGCATTTTATTAGGCTTATTTTTAATTATTGGGCTTGCGTGCAGAGATGAATTCACCCTTCATTTAAACGCCGTGAAAATGAATAATGATACATATAGCCTAGGTTGTGATTACCGAAACTGTAAATATTTTGATGGGTTAACTTATTCTACAAAAATGTCTTGGACATTATTTGTAGTGTTTCCTGTCTCGCAGGTCTCATGAATTCGAAGGGATTGTTCAATTGAACGGATGTGTTCACCGGGGCTCAGATTCAAGTGTTTGACAATTGCACCCTACAGCAATATCCTTCTGAACATAACGGCGGTTCATTTTTTTTCTCACTTTAATTAATTAATCAGTAAATCCCCGTAATTTATTTAAATTATATTTAATTAAATCGCTTGAGAAACTGCTCCTTAAATGGTTTGTTTTAATATTTGCAAACAAATAAACTAAAAGAAAGATTTTAGATCAAGCGGGGTTTTTTACATGCAGGCCTGTCACATTTACAATATACATAGTAGACTATGTCAAAAGCCGAAGTCATCCAGGACTCGTGGCCCCTTTAAATGTGGAAACTATTTGAAAGAATGTAAAGGAAATTTAATGTACAAAATAGAACCAAATGATATGAAAAGGGGAAACGTTTTCAATCTGTTTCAGAAGTTGCCCGAAGTGTCCAAAGATTAATAAACTTTAAAGTCTGACTTCCATCTTTCAGCGGAGTGTGGTAGTGCCAAGCTACAAATCAGTTCAAGACCACTTTTAATCGATTTTAATAAGATAGTTGGCGCTGTTCACTTTAGAAACCAAAACAGTAGTCAGTCTTTGCTTTTTGTCTAAGAGTTTTGAAATCGCTTCTGGAACTGCGTAAACAAAGTGTTTCTAGACATAAGCAGCATTTACACGTTTTATTAAGATCAAATATTCCCTGTATGAACTGTTGTTCTGACAATAAATAACAATAACTTACTTTTGTTCGATAGAGGCTCAAACAATCTGTCCTCCGTCCACTCAGATAAAATATTTTACAACAAGAGTCTGTTTTATATCATCTCCGGCAATCATGCTCTTTAAGACAAACACGGTAAAGGGATTTTTGAAGTCAATAACGAAATATGAAAAAAATGCCTCACATGTTGAAGAAACAAGACACAATTATCATCATGATGGAAAAGTTTAAGGTTCAACAGAGAAGAGCCACTGGCTTTTCATTCGGGAAGACTAGTTTATATATCCTTCAAGAGTTCTTCTTTCCTGTGTAACTTGGATTCAGATGGATTCAAACCGCGTAATTAACAATGTTTTTGGTCAACCAAATTCCCAGGATGCGAAACAGTATATAAAGTCTTGACCAGGCAGCTTTGCTTTCCGGAAGAATTTCCGATCATTCTGTCTTCCAAGCCAAATCTTTTTTTTCCCCATAAAAAATATTTTGATGCTGTGATGAGCTGGTCTGTTCTCATGCAGGGTATAGCGGGAGCATGCTGGGTCCGGAATCGGGGCTTGGCCGGGCCTCACGTCTCAACTGGGCTCGGAACCATGCTGTTGGGGGTGTCGGGTAACTGAGATGACAACGAAGTCACGTCGCTGCCTGACGAATTACCCAAGGAGCCGGATTCGGAAAAAGACACCTGTGAGGAGAACAGACCTGATTAGCTATCGTTACAATACAATACAGGTCGATATCATATCTGTTCTTATTCGGCTTTCCGTCTTATTTCCCATCTTACAGTATTACCAGTCTTCAGATACGAAGACGGGCAAATTTCGCAAGGAATTCATATTTTAGTCAGATAAAAAAATCCTGTACCTAAGTGACTTAATACAGTATTTCTATTGCACGGATGAAATTCTTTAAATATGCGTGATCAGCATTTTGCTGTGATTAAAATTCGGTATATTGTAATATGCATATTGTAATATGCATAACATAACATACGTAAGAAATATTTAAATGTATTCTACATTTACAAATATATGGGAAACAAGAATGGTTCAGTGACTGATTTTATGTGCAACATATTTTTTTGTATCATTGTATTCGATGCTACTACATTGGAAACATCCCTCTGCCACTAATTATGGGGACCGCTGCACGTATTTTGCCCGTCTTTCTCTTCACATATTGGAAGACATTCTTCATAAAATGAAACCTTTAGAAAGAGTTACTGATTTCACAAATGATGTTTCTTATCATCAACAGCGGGAATACTAACTTGTTAGGTGAGGAAATCTTTTCGGACTTGCAAATAAAGCTGTGACAGCTAGATTTACAGAGACCAAATATGTTTTTTTTTATCACCTTTAGTAGGTGCTGAGCGTAAAAATGAGCATTTTAATTAAATTATACATCTCCGAAATATCTCTTCATTCACCGATTCAGAAAGAAAAAGGAAGTTTGTTTCTGTGGTGTGAGGGCAAATGACAAGGAGCGAGGAACTTGACACGCTCAAAGTTTCAAGGCTCATGATCCTGCTACCCAGCAAATAATGACCAGGAGACCTGAGCATTTTCAACACACCTAGAGATGTTCGCACACGTAGAGGTCAAGGTCATCCATGACTAACCGCAGAACACAAAGGCGCAGCAAACAGTGTATTCTTTAAAACAAAGCAGGGGGAGAAACGGTGTGGCAAGTTTACAACTTTCTTCCGCGCCGCTGACTCCCCCAGATCTTCTGCGAGAGAAGTAGAAGCTGGACATTAAAGAAAATGTTTTTTTCTCTCTCTCTGTCCCTCGCTCTCCCCCTCCCTTACCAGCTGTTGAAAGGCAGGTTGGTCCAGGTCACTTTGCAAGGCGAATTCACTCAGGGCTTTCCAGGGGGGCTGGTATGTCTGCACCTCCACCGGATTGCCCTGGACGGCGTTGTCGTGTCTAATCGGGCTGCCTGCTACGAGTGGCGTCCCCGTGAGTCCCTGAAGGTTCTGGATGGGGAAGACACGGAGAATGAAAAACAGACCCTTGAGAAAACGCTAATATAACCAAGGGCATATTGACCGTTTTAAACATTTTCCGCGTCTTAAAAATCCGAATTTCAACGCCCTTGGATTCCAAAAACCCATCTGATTTATGTTGGTCGAAATGCAAGGCGAATTCAAGCGCTCTGCTAAATTCACACTGAGGTTATGCATTTTTCAGAAGCAAGGTGTCCTTTGGAATGCATTATTCACAAACCAAAAGATATCCTAGTACTTTGTGTAAAGGGGCGGCGTGATATTCAATTTGGACAGATGATCGTTTATGCAATAATGAACTCCATACATTTCTCGTAATAGGTTCTTCTAGCACGGATTGGAGCAATCGCTATTTTTATTTTTTTTACATGTAGTCTACGAACACCCCCCACCAAAAAAAAGGTCTGTCTTACATGACTGTGTTGAAAACCTTTAACGTTTAGAACACCAGCCTGAACAAATTATTGGAAAGGAAGCTCGATACATGGTTACCTAATTTCTATTTGGACATTTTAACAAATAGGGTGTAAAGTGAACAACATAATGAAGTCAAAGAGGACCGACAACACCTGCTTACAGTGCGCTAGTTTTACTTTTCGCAGGTTTCCCCCCCATGAGAAGCTTCAAACAGCCCAAAAGTAAAAAAATAAAACTTAGTTTCCTTTTTCTTTCGTTAGCTACAAACCAAGAAGAATAACCGGATCAGAATGAAATTTGTGAACCAAAGGACGCGTTCACAATTGGTCACAATATGCTGCCTCTCTCACTACAGCAGTAATTTCGTTAACCCGGTGCAATGCTTACAGTTTTATCATTGTGTTGCTGCTGTTGGAGCTGCTTCATGAGGATGGATCTCTTTTTGTCTTTACAGCGTTTGTTCTGAAACCAGACTCTTATAACCCGTGGGCTGAGACCGGTCATTTCCACCAGCTGTTCCTTCATAAGGGCGTCCGGCCTGGGGTTGGCGTTGTAGCAGGTCCGCAGGGTGTGCAGCTGTTTCTCGTTCAGCACTGTCCGCACCCGAGTGGTCTTCTCCGACTGCTTGTGGACATGAGTTCGGAGCTGGGGCTGTCGAACCGACACTGGGTCCGCTAAAAAAGACGCATTTAATTAAGAGCACTTTAATATCGTGTTAGTAGCGCGTTAAAGCCGGCGTTACGGTGGCTTGATGAACCCACCTGGAGGAAACCTCCGCTTTGCAATTCCTCCATTATAAATGCCATCTAACTTAATGAGTTATTTTCACATTTCTTCGATTAAAGTGATCCCCCTCGTCTTTGCAAATCAAAGTCTTGTGTTTTAGAAAGAAATGAACTCTGATTACAATGTAAATGTATTTAAATGTTTTTGCACTGCGTTGTGTGATAGATTTCGGGGCCTGCGACATAAAAGGTAGTAAAGCCATTCATAGTGTCAAAAACTACATTATGGAATTAATTTAGTAAATTACACATGGCAACTAAAATTAGTCATAAAGGTAATCTGGCAAAGTCATAAATAAACTGTCATCCTTGGGGGCTCTACTCCAAAATAAATAAAGATGAATTCCCATACAGAATTTATGTTGCAGAAAGTTCTTCATATCATTATTAACATTTAGTGTGTAGCAACATTTCCCATAGCGCTCCCGAATTTCTGTATTGTTCATGTTTAAAAGCAAAAGAAAACACAATTATGATAGAATGTTTATAGTTTATATAAGTAAAATAGTTTACATGCTTGGAATTGCATATACGCTATTTAAAATATAGATTATTAGTATAATGCGTATGATTAAATATATTATTACACAATGAAGATAGAGCTTACTCGGTTTTGTTTTTTGAAATCGTTTCAAGAAACATTTGAGATTTACATTTTAAATTCAGCACTGGTATATTAACGATGACATAGAGGTGCCTACAGTATATCTAGATTACACGCGGTTCGTCTTTCAATAATTCGATATAGCAACGATTTCGAAACCTAGCTACGATTCGAGTAGACAAAAGCAACGTAGCGCCAAAACTGACCAGCGCGTAGTTCCATAAATGATACTTTATCAGTATCAGTGCATACAGTACCATTTTCCTGACCAAATACAGTTGTGAGAGAGATTTTATGCATGCTGGCTGTATAAAACAAGTAGGGATACAAAGCTCATCGAGAACCTGCTTTAACCACATTCATCATGGATAATCCCTAAAATTATTAGGAATAGACAGACTCCCCAGCAAAAAAAATATATATATTTTGCATATTATATGTCCATTCATGTAAAGGATAGAGGAATTATATAGGAAGACCCTATATCAGGAAAAAAAATATTGTGCCGAAGAAAAAAAGTAAAATACGCTTCAAAAAGAATAAGCACTTCAGGCAAAGCGATATATATATATATCAATTCGTTATGTTTATCAAACCGTAATGGCACTGCCTGTACTAAAACATATAAACACGCCAATTACATCCTAGAGACGCAAAACATATTTTCCTCTACAGACGAAAGCCGATGTTGCCTCACAGGCAGACAAGCGGCAGGTTTCCCCACATGGAGCTCTGATTTCTTCACCACGGGCAAAGCAAGTGCTACATCAAACCAGCCTCGGTCGCAAACAGAATGCAGGAAAATCATTTTTTTACACCTTCCCAGGGTAAACAGGACAGATTTAGAGTTGTTTATCTAAAACAACGGCATATTACAGGGCGTCATTGATTGCGTGCATCTGGTAGTTGCTTGAACTTGAAATTTCAACCTCAGGCCCCATAGGCCTTGGTGATCCTACAAGAAAATCGTCTCGACTGACGGAGCTACAGTTTCAGACACAGAATGAAACCTTATGACTTTTCCCGCAAAAGCTAATGTGCCTAAACATGAGAAAGTTCTACGTTTTTTAAATACTGAATCGTCATAACTAAAGACTGTGGTAGCTGCTTATTTCGAAGTCATTCGTTAAGATGAAAAAAAAAACTGCACTGAGCGTTTATTTGTCTACATTTAAGGATTAATTGAAATACAGTGACAATTACCAGGTGGTTCATCAAAATGACAATCGCCCTTGCTTATAAGTACTTACAACGGTCTAAACGTTTTGTTTTTAAATGGAAAGTTTGTCCATCTTTGCATTTTTTTTCGCCCGAACTTAATTATATTTCATGATACTTTCCAAAAGCTGCTTGCATTAGTTTTTTTACCAACCAAAACATGACAGTAATAAAACTGACAGCATTTAAAATGCAGTCATGCAGAAAACCAATAACATTGCATATATCCGTTGTATGCAACATTTCATGTGGGAGAAAGCATTTTAACTTTGTTAAACTTATTCTATTTGAAATAACCAAACGCGACGAGGGGCATCAATGTCTTTCCTTTGGTATATGGCAGTCAAAATGATCCCATTGCGCACTAGAACTAATAATACAATTTTACAGTAACTTCTGTGAAAAGCTTATCATCTTAAGCTAGAAAACAAGGCCGTTGGGCCTTAGATATTAATACTAGGAATGACAGTTGGAGTATGAGGGCGACGAAACCGCCGCCGTTTCTTTAGGTAGTCGAAAAAGAAACTTCTTTTGTAATAAAAAGAGTTCAGAGCAATTTAGGCGTGACATAATAATAATAATAATAATAATAATAATAATAATAATAATAATAATAATAATAAATTTACCTGCCATGTGAAGAGATCTAGTGGAGTGAATGTGTCCCGGGCTGACAGGGCTGCCCGCCGAGCTCCGCTCCACAAGCAGGCTGTGATCAGCCCGGCACAGCAGCTCTTCGTCCCGGAGAGAGAACTCGTCTCCGGGCAGCAGCTGCCGGCTGCACACCGAGCACCTGAAGCACTCGATGTGATAGACGGTGTCTCTAGCTCTCATCACCAGATCGCTGCTGCTAAACCCCACGTTACATTTAGCGCATTTTATTCCGAACAGCCTGGAAAAAAAAGGGCGGAAAACAAACCTAAAATAGTTTCGAGGATTTCTACAGGCGATGAGCATTTAACAAGTAGTTCAATTGCGTTGACGAAGCCGCTGCAAAACCGGGTTTTGAACGGTCAACCTTTTTATGTTGGCAACATAATGTAATTATTATACTTTTATAACATTAAATTATTGTAGGTTTAAAACAGTAAATGAGCAGGTATTCGCAACAGTTTGTACAGGCTGTGCTCCTCGAGTGGAAAAGCAGATTTTAAGATGACCAGGTAATGACACAGGCTGTGTGTGCCGCAAATCTGAACATTCAGTCAAAAAGCACCCAGTGCAAACTAATATAATGTTCTTCCACTAATAGGTTATGTTTAATGTTGCATTATAAATTAGATATCACATGTGGTCCTCGTTTAGTATGCTTAACATAAGTATCACACGAAACCAGAAAGAGACGAAACAAGTCATCCAATTTGTGAATGCGACTGTTAATGCTTTAAATTATTTTTTACAGTTTAAGCAACGTTTTCAATTTGATTTATTATTAACTAGCTGTTCTAACAAGGTGGACGTTGTTTTTACATTGTTTCAATGGCGACATTCTTATTTCCCCGTTTATTTCGGACATCTAAAAACGCCTAATATACGTTACATACCAATTTCTATTCCCCCCACCGGATTAGTTAAATTATTATGTTCATCTTTGCTAGTGTTAAAATATTCAGAAGAGTTATTGAACAGAGAAACTCCTACCTTACATAATCTCTTTTGCAGTACGTTTTGCCGTCTCGGACGAAGCAAGTGCAAGTCTCGTCCAGATACTGACTGCACTCCGCACATTTCAGGCAGGCAGCGTGCCACTCCAGATCGGGGGAAACTCGCAGTATATACTGGTCATGTATCTGACTTCCACAGCCTACACACATAGCGATTCCGGACTTCTCTGTCGAGAACAGGTAAAATAGCAGTACTCGTTAACCCCACACTGAGCCCTTTGACACGATTCCCAAAAAAAAACCCAAACATGTAAAAAGCTTTGCATTTTCGTCTCAAGTTAGAAATATTCCTCCAGGAGCGGCAAACGATTACATGCAAATCGTCAACATACGCACATGCTTAAACGCACTGGTGCGAGTGCGATCTGCAAGCTTGATCGTTGAGGAACTTTTATTCAACTGGATTAAAGCAGCGCTGTGGAAAACAAAATAACGCCCCGTGCAATAGCTTTATCAGCGCGGTAGCTGCTGCGAGCACAGGTACAGATTGAATCCGCACGCAAGTCAACGATACACCTAACCCCCCACACAAAACACAACGAAACAACTTAGCCGAAGATGACAGCAGAGCTGCTCAATTTACAGAACAGACTATTAACTAAAAATGGCACCGATAAACGCGCAACCCGGATACTCACAAATTACTTTGAATTAATGAAGGCGTTAGAAGAAAAAAAAACATTTACACTGGATGCAACCATTACTGGCTCAGTATGCGTACTAATGATAATAAGCGCTGACAATTATCCAAACAATAATAGTCCCTCGGTCTGAAACAAGGAAATAGGCTGACAAACACAGCATTTGACTTACTTTTGGAATGATCCCCCATATCACCCAAGAAAGAAGAGTTGAAAATAATATCCACCATACAGGAAGGATTGAGGACAGTGCAATAGGTGCAGAAATGAAGTAGGAGGTTGCCTTGCCCAGTCTCCAGCTGGCTGATAACTTCTATCCTAAGACTGGAGAGCAAGGGGGAAGAGCCGGCAGTGTCCCACACGCAGCCTGACGTCACACGCAAACTTGGACCCAGGCGCGCCGAGAGGGGCCAGGAGACCACGAAGTGATTGGCGAAGAGAAGACAATGCATCAGATACGCCCGGTGGCTCTTTCTGCACAGGCCGTGCGTTTTGTGCGGATTTTAATTAGTAATTATAACGTGAGCCCGGGGTTAACGAAACAATGTCAACACATGTATCTCACGTACTACACCTTGAAGTTAACAACAACAAACAACAACAACAACAACAACAATAATAATAATAATAATAATAATTATTATAATAATAGAAAAGAACATTCTCCTACTAGAGTATGAGAAATAGGATTTTTTATTTCATTTGTTTAATCATAAAAGTGCTACATTATTTTAGTTTTTACTACTTTTATTGGGTTGAAATTTTACTCTTAATCGGCCCTACTGATTTTTCCCAATCTCTTGAAGATCTTTTGCGAATTGCTTTCCTGTAATTATTTGAGACAGTCGTGCAGATACATGTTAGGTCTTCTTTCCCAGAATGAATAAATAGAAGACGTAGTCTACTGCTTTTCAGATGAAATCTCAAGCTACACATACAAACATTTTTAAAGACAACTGAGACAACATAAATAAAAAAATGAAAAATCGTTGTGAAGTCTGAATCTTTTACATACGTTGTCATGTATCGGTATAATATTTAAATGTTTTGGATGTGTTCGAGCAGAGTGACCTCTGCTGGATATATTAACTATTGCAAATCGTCTCGACGACCGCCAGTGCCTTACTTCGCTTAATCTATATTGAATTCCAGATCGGTAAAACAAAATCTTTTCATGTTTACCTTATTATTCCATTGTTCTAAAAATAATAATAACGAGAACGCCGAGGCCCGAGAATAAAAACGTCATTTTGATCGTGGAAATAATCGGCACAACTCAGAATTTCACTGTTAAAATGTTATGTTCTCCTTTTCTTAATTTTAGAACCATGTGCAGTCATTCCACTGAAATGTACCTTCAATTCATATACATGTCTTGGTTTTCACAATATTCCTGTTCATTTAAAGTGTTGTTAAACAGGTTTTAATGGGCACATGTAGTTTAAAAGCATATTTAGTTTAAAACCCAGATTCAATGTTTTCTGCATTTTGTTCTTTGAAACCGTCTTGACCATAGATTCTGATTCTGAAACCATTAAACACATAGCCTTTAAATCGTTATCTGGTTTTGTGAAAAGAGCATTTCTATTCAATTAAGCAACCCAAAGTAAACAACTGTAAGTGTTTTGTTTTTCTTACTTATTTGAATAATGACGATATTAAAATAACGTTTTACAATTCTAACTGCCATGAAGTACGCTTAGTACAAACATATCAAAAACATCGCAAAGTGTTCTCAGATTGCACTATGTTTATCTGGAAAACCTATTGATTTTGGTGTCCAATTTAAAAAACAGAGATTTACTCTCCTTCCCCAATCTTTTAAGTATCATTTATCTGTATTATCTAATAAAATCACCAGTACATATTGCGTGCGCGTTCAGACCTATGGGTCTAGATATCATGTATCCGGTAGCTGAAAGAGTGTCTTAAGGATATTTAGGATATCTGTTTTTCTCCTTATACATGGCAATAATCGTATTTTATACTCTAAAAACCACAGAGACACTTACAACAGAGAAAAATAAATTATACATGTACCGTGTTAGTAATGAACAATACAGAGAAAGGGAATCAACACGGATAGCTTGGAGACGCAGAGTTCAAAGTATTCGCCTATCTTAATCGATTCCCCCATCTGGACGGGCCAGTTAAAGGTTGCCTTATTTTTTTTGGTAGGATCGGGGTAACAGGAAGCTTGTAATAAGACTGGTCGACGTCATCGATTTTGGCGTGCATTAAGACGTCTGAAATCCTTTTTAAGCATGTTCCTTTATGAGTTAATTTCGTCATGGGTTGCGCTACATGCATCATAAATCACCCCGTTGTGGCGGAATTTTCCTTTCGTTGCGCTTAGGCAACATTTCATGTAATCTGTAGGAAACTAGCAGTTGTTTACAATCCTTCACATTTAGTTATTTGCTGGTGTATTGACACAAGCCTGGTGTTACCGGTACCGGGATAAAGAAGACAGATAACTTCTAATGAAACAACAGTTTTTTCGTACTGATGTCAAACATGGCATATATTACTGACGAACCCAATCCAATTGCTACAAAGCTCTATTCTCGACCGTTGTTTCATAATTGTACTATGAAAAACAAACCGATTTGTTCGGCCCAAATTTCCACAGGTCTGAAAATAATTAAAAGAACGAGATGCAAAAAAGGGGAAAGAATTGATATAAGAGGAGTGCAGAGAGACCTTGTTAAAGTCTCTCACCGTAGTTACTGCAACACAAAAAAATCACTCGGCACAACACGGAGCAGACACAAGCACACTTCATGTTATTTCAACGGCTAACATCAATGAAGTCGATTCCGATTCCTTAGGATATATCCAGGCGATTAAACAGAAAACAGGGCAACTACATTATTTGTGGAGGGCATTACCTCAGACGGCAAGATCCTACTCGTCGTTTTACACTACTTTCTATCAGCACTACCACCCTTTTCAACAACGATACCAATAAAGTTTACTGCAGGTCTTATTCTTGTAGAACTATTGGGTTTCAGTTTTGCCATCACACTCAAAATGTAAATTGTGTTTTTCATTACCCAAAATATTTATGACAACAAACCTATAGCCATTATTAATACATCTGTGACGTCACGTGGAGTATATTGCGCTATAAGGTTTCGATACATTATGCGACACTTTTTTTTTAGCAAAACAGAAGCGCTTAAACAGGGGGCGTTGGTATTTGCTGAAACAGAATTGATTGCTGAAAAGTTAAAATTCATTGTCTGTTTTTCAAGAATGTCATTGAAATCAGAAATGTCTCCGATGGAATTTACATTAGTTGAGGTTATGAACGAGATGGTTTTGATGTCATTTGATATGTACAATGCCTCGTGGGGAAAATACGCAAAACGTCTTTTTGCAGATAAAACATTATTTTAAAATAAAACCTATATATATAATTTGTCGAAATATTCGTTATTTCATAACAATTCTGTATACGAATGTCAGAATTCTTGGTTATTTTTTAGTAACATTGATGAATGTACCTCGATTTCCATTAGTATTTTAGAATGGCACCCGTTATACTAGAAAGTAAGTGAAATAACTATTGATTATTTGAATATATTTACACAAAATAAAAAAGGTTTGCGGTGTTGAGCAAAATCAAGCACTTCTTGATAAAAACCATAATCCAGCCATTCAGAATCTCCCACAACAACGCTCCTGTTAACTAACAAATAATAGCGAAAACATACAAAAAAATATAAACCACCATAACCTCCCCGATCGCTTGGATTTCGTATTAATAGAACAATTCACGATGCTATATTTTTTCTGTCGATTTTGTTTTTTTGTGTGAAATGGATACACCTAATTAAAATTAAAACGATACTGTAAAAAGGCACCGTCCTTCGGATGAGACGTAAAACCGAGGTCTTGACTCTCTCTGTGGTCATTAAAAATCCCAGGGCGTTTCTCGAAAAGAGTAGGGGTGTAACCCCGGCGTCCTGGCCAAATTTCCCATTGGCCCTTACCAATCATGGCCTCCTAATAATCCCCATCTATGAAAAAAAAAACTAATTAAAAAGGTACGCGAACAAATCTCAGTCTGGCCTCTTAACACATTCCTCTCACATAACATATTAGGCTAATAATCCGTAGTTTATATACCAGACCGTCATTTATATCAATGTATCGATGTATTTATTTATCACTTATGCTGCTTTGAGAAACCTGGCGATGCAGAAAGACCTCTTAAAGGACCCAAACGCCCGCTCTGTGCTGACCTCGTGCTGGCCTCCCGGTTCTTCAGCATTTGCGACCCCGTCCTCAACTTCACCTCTGACATTGACCTTCACCCTAGACACACATAATTTAAAGTCCCAATTAGAATTAGCGGGAATGTCGCTTTTCTGGGATTAGTTTGTGGTCAATTCTGATAATAAAGTAATTGAAACCATTCGCGGGAACCCTCAACCAGGACAACGACGTCAGCGATATTCGCTATCTGCAGAAATCAGATATGAGCAAACTGTTTAAGTCCTTCTTTGCTGTTTAGGTTTAGATAAATTAATTCCATTACATCTAGAACTTCCCGATACAAATGAGGTAAACGCCACGTTAAAATAACAACAACTACAACAACAATAAAAATAAATTTAGTTACAGGCAAAATATCCAAGTCCTTGAACCATATTTACACTACGGGGAAACTTATTGCATTCGTATATACTACTGTAATTATTACACATTTTGCCGGTTCTCCGATGAAAGATATTCTTGTATGCTGCTGAGGAAGTGGGCTGCCCTATATATTTTTTTCAGTAACGTTTTTCATTTGGGATGAACGTTTTCACCTTAATTATGGTGTTAAGTTAGAACTGTGAGTCAGTGTGTGATTCTAAGTGCACGTGGCAGTGGGGATATGATATGAAATAGTTTATCTGTCTCAGTCCATAGCCCTCACACTCACAGTCTGCACATGCTGTTTAACAGATTGATCTTTCTCGTTTAGTGCATCGGAATTCAACATTTTTTAAACTTTTTTTTTTGCTACAGCTACTTGTTTTTTAAATGTACTTAAGTCTTATATAAGATTATAAACATATATTATAAAGAAGGGGTTAAAAGTCTTTAATTTGTTTGGTTTCTGTGGTATTACGTAAATGTTCCTATAGACGTAAAGTGAAGTATACACATAAAACTGCATGTGGAACAAATACTTGTGTCATTCTGTACACTAGATTGTTACCAATGGTTTTACACATTAAGTATCGGAGAGATGAAAAAAATATTTAAATTTTCTATTATAAAACTTCCACAGTTAACAGAGGTTTAAGTGACAGAAAAACAGTTTAACTGAAAAACCAATAATTCATATTGATCGGTGTGTACAAAACAGTTCAAGGTAAACTACACACGAACAGCTAAGATCAAGTGTCGTAGTAATTAATCCATTCAATTTACCAATCAGACTTAATTGACTTGTTAAGTGCTTTCTGTCATTAATATCATTAGTTGTTTCACATCCATAACACTAAAAGGCTACAAAATACAAAATACCGATTTACCAGGAGTATGTTTTATCATTAAATAGCTAAAATTACAGTAGAGTCACAGAATAGTGCTTTTTGAATAAGGGCAAAGAGTAAAATAATCATCAGCATTATAACTGTATTTAGTATTGTTTAGCCTGTAGTGCAAGGTTCAGAAGATGCTACTGCATAAGTAATTTTTTTTCAACCAACAATTTTTTGGTTGTTTGAAAGAATTGCTGCTTTGCAGTCGCTCTATTGAATATCTAGTTATCCGTGCAAAGCACCAATCAAACCAATCAGACCTACTGTCTTTCAGTCGTATCTGTTGTTCTTTTTGTTTTATTTTGAGATAATACTAGCTGCGTCAGCTTGCGTGGGGTGCAAAGGAACAGGTAACGGGTTTACTTCCTGCTGAAAAGAGAAGAAAGGAAACACAGCAGGGAATAAACCCTCTCCCAGTTCCTTTATAAACGTCAAGCTTAACTGGGAAAGCAAATGGGACTGGTCCTGAACTTGGGTAAGCAGTTTTACACGTATGAAGTACGCCGCAGTTTGGATGACTACTGTAAATAAAACTGAGCATACTCCGGACATTTTTAAGTATTTACAGCGGTTTCGACATTGTCTACATTGTCAACCGACCCACGCCAAGACTGCATTCTTTGCAACTATGCAAACAGCTGGATTGTCTGGCAGGATGCGACGAAGTTGTACAAGTAAAGTTTATTTGAACGGAAGTTGCTGTAGGTCCAATCACTCGTCGCTTTGCAGGCTGTTTTCTTCTCGCGATAGAAGGGATTCTCTCTTGGAGTGGGGGGTCTTTTAGCTGCTGCTCAAAAAGATCTCGTAAAACATGTACAAAATCGTTAACAAGCAAAACGTGAGACAAGTGGTGAGTAGCTGTATCAGACAGCGAAAGAAACGCGAAGAGATTTGTAATCGTGAGCCCTTAATTGTAACAGCTGGCCGAAAAGCGCTCGGGGGGCATTGGACAGAGGTCAGGCTTTGGGTGTCCTCTTGTGGGACAGTGCGCATTGATCGATGGCTACAGGCTTCTTATAATATGTACTTTGTTCGCTAAGTATTGAACTTTGTCTACCCTGGGAATTCGACTGGTTATAGTATTTAGGTGTGCATTTAAGGAGTGGATTAGGACTTCCAAGACATGAAGAGAGATCGCTCGTTCTGCAGGTATGCAGCGTTGCAAAACAGTTACGAAACGCATTCAAGTCCCATTTTGGTCTTTGCATACGTCCAGGCTATAGGTGTGGTTGTGTAAGCCAGAAGAATTGAAATGCGCATTGACGTTTTCCACAGAATAATTCTTCATTTTCGGTTTGTTCACGGCACATGTATTCCACCGACCCTGTCATCACTGACACGTTTCCCATTCGTGGGGGAAAAAATAAGAATTTATATTTTTCCACCTGGACATTAAATGAAATGTAGCCCTTGTCTTCCAGCAGCTGGGTGGTATTTTGTTACTTTGCAAAAGCAGTTTTTAAAAGGTTTCAATGAAGCTTTACAGCTTTATTTTTAGACGTCTGTGATTTGTTGAGGTGACTCATATTTTTTTTTCAAGCTGTATTGGTAATTGATTTGTGTATCGGTATTTTCAGAATGCCGACGCTTGTCATGCTTCTGCTGTGTTGCACACATTGTCTAACAGTCCTAATCAATGAGAGTGATTGAAGCAGCACGGTTCTATAAGCAGGGTGACCTCACAGTATGTCTTAAAGATGAACCAGGGAAATAATACAGCTGTTGTTGATTGATGCGTTGTTCCCTCCAGGCCAGTCTCCTCCAGAGGTTTCAGAGTACCTTGGTAGTGGCAGAGCACAACAATGAGAAGCTGACTCCCATCACGCTGAATGCCATCACAGCTGCCAGCAAGCTGGGAGGGGAGGTCTCCTGCTTGGTTGCTGGAACTAGCTGTACCAAGGTAAATGGCTATGACTGATTTTAATGGCTGTTTTCTCCAAGTCACGGTTACATGGCATGTCAGGTTACAGGATCACCATTCTGAGAGCACTTAGGGTAGCCCTGGGTCACTGTCCTTGTTAGTTCTGCACGGAAGTCTTGGCTCATCTCTGCTTGTTACCTATAACACTTTAACTTTGTGGGTTTGCTGGTAAACACACTCTGACACACTGCTGTACACATACCACATCCTTCAGCACAGCTAAAAAAATACAATTATATTGGTGCTTTCCTTCTATGGGTTCTGTTTTTGAACTGAGCTGAGAAGACACATTTCTTGGTTGGCAACAAAGCTGTGGGAAGGGTGTTGTTGTGCTGAGGCTTTGGTTTGGTTCCTGCCTTAAAAAGGGATCCTCGTATAGAGTAGCTGATTTACTCTTATTTAGTTCTCCCTTGACTGGAAACGTGGAGGGGGACACCATCTGTTTTGGTGTTGGGAATGAGCTGGTGTTGTTTTATTATACAGAACTATGTGATTATAGTTCTTTGTTTTACAAAATTTAAGTGAATAAAAACCTGTCTACAAAAAGAAGGATTTGCTTATCATATCAACATCAAAAGTGGTTCCCCATCGATTTTCTCTGTGATATTTTAGATACATTTTGTCTAACAATTGCACCTTACCATACAGTTTTATAATGAATTAAAAGTTTAAACCTCTTGTATTATATTTATATTCTCAATCCTGCATTGTCAAAAAAGAAGTGATTAGGTTAGGTAGGCTGCAGATTAACCATCTGTCTGACAGTGTATATGCTGATTAATACATAATTTATTAATTTAGTTTGCGTTTTTGTCCATAGGTTGCTGAAGAACTAAGTAAAGTCCAGGGAGTTAAAAAGATTTTGGTGGCTCAGCATGATGCATACAAAGGTTTATTGCCAGGTAATTTTGTTTTATATCGCTTCACTTGGGGACTGTTATTGTTTTTATTACAGGTTGATTGTTAGGGATTAACAAGTACTTTGATTGCAGTCTTAATGCATTGTTAATCAGATAACATCAAAACTAGGTGTAAAAAACCTGAATATCAGAGTAATACACTGTGGTTGACTCATAAGTGTCAAAACTCTTAAGCCAAGCATGTATCAATCTTTGAAGAGTTCTTAATTAAACTACACACAGCACACCCATTTTTACTAAGGACAAACATGTTAATGGCAAAACTTTAATTTCTGTAAATTTTCTACATGTGAATTTCTACTTCTTAAGACTGTCACTGCGTGCAAATTACTCCTGTTTCTTTTCAGCTTCAGCCGTGTGTATTATAGATGTACTGTAGGCATGTTACAGATGTTGTTTAGAAAACACTACAGTAGACTGATGAGTTTTACACTGTGCTCAAGAAAGGCATGTCAACAATCTCTCATCAGTTCAATCGGCACCAGTAAATTGGAATTTGTTAGCAGAGTGTTAACCAGGTGACTGTACTGTCTCTCTTTGCAGAGGAGCTGACCCCTTTGATACTGGCAACCCACAATCAGTTCAGCTTCACACACATCTGCGCTGGGGCTTCTGCTTTTGGAAAAGTAAGGGAAACCTGTCAGCCTGGAAATCGCAGAGAGTTACCTTCTACTGTTTCCTGGTTTTACTAGTTTTTGTATATCTCTCCTGGGCAGTTCCATCTTGTGCTGCTAATTGCATCAGTATTGAGAAGCCAGGGCGATGGAATTGCGTATGATATTTCGGGATGAAGCATTAATGCAGAATTTGGATTTTTTTCACTGTGAGCTCTGGTGCAGAAAAGTGGAACTTGTCTAGTGCATTTAGCACTTATCCCCTTTTGTACAATGAGCCTTTCTATCTACATACTGAAAAGGGTACAAAACCTGTTTATTGTACCATTATTGTACACAGCTGCATTCTGGAATCGAATCAGGTGCTGTTTGTAACTAATTTAGTCCATAAGTTTTTTTGGTTGCTCTGATCCCAGTGCTCCTCCTTTATACCATTATGTTGCAGAGAATGTTTGTCTGACTGGAAGTTTCTGAAAATAAAGTATATTTTGTGGGGCCATTGTCGTGTTTTTGGATATGGATGAGTATTTAATATATGTAAATTATATAAAGTTTACCAGGAAGGCCTGGAATGTGTACATTTCGAGTATAAATTAATTATTAAGGATGATTTATGTGGAAGGTCCTGCATCTGAATAAAAAATGATCAAATTTCCCCAAGATTCCATCTATTAATATGGGAAGCTTTTCTTCAATCAGTCTACTGTCCCTGTGTATTTAAAAATGCACCTTGTATGTCTCTGATAGGGGCTTATTTCAATTTTCCTAAGAAAGCATCCACAATATGTGTAGTACTATCCTCAATTACAAGTTTTGTAATCTGTCATTCTGGAACAGAACTGTCAACTTGCTGATCTAATGGTATTTAAATTGAATTACAGTGCATTAAACAATATCTTGTATATTATAACCTGACTCATATTGACCGAAGCAGGATATTAGTCTTTATTTCCCTGAATAGCTGAATGCATTTCACATAATGCATCCTCTTCTGGTGGATACAATTTCATTTTATTAATAAAATGCTTGGGTTATCATTTGTCAAAGACCACTTTTAATTACTCTCTCTTCATTTTCATGTTAAAGCTAATGCATAGTTTACACTGAAGAACTTTTTTTTCTCAAGCTGAAACCAGACTGAAATCAGAAATTTGTTTGAAACAAAACTTTCCTTTTACGTACCAGGGCTACTGTTTTAATCCCGTTTCTGATTTTTAGAGTCAGCTTAATGCAATTGCATTTGAATGGGGCCAAATCTGTGGCGGAAGTATCTTGAATTTAAACTTTCAGTGCACTCTCCAAGTGGTATTTTATGCAGATATTTTCATAAAAAGTCTGCTTTTTGTTTCTGATTATATTATGTTTCTGTACATTAATTCACTTCCTGCTTTTGTGTTTTGCAGAACCTTCTTCCAAGAGTGGCTGCCAAACTTGATGTTGCCCCCATCTCTGATATCATTGAGATAAAATCTCCAGACACCTTTGTTCGAACAATCTATGCTGGTGAGTGTCTAGTTTTAGCGGACCTAAGATATTGATGCTTTTTTCTAATTTTATTTTCAAGAAACCAATGAGTACATAGAAATGAAAATAAGTCAATGTTAAATAATTGCAATATAAGGCCCTCAGAGGTGCCAAAAAGGTTGGTATGATCTATAAAACTCAAGTTCACAGCGGGGGGGGGGTCTATCTTTGCAAAGAAAATAAATACTGTATGTAGTACAGCTCATTTTCAGTCATACAGTAATTACAGTATATGCATCACTGCTTTAGAGCATAGCTGTAGCCAGAAATTTCTTTTACCATGAGCAAAATGTTCTGCGGCACTGTGAGCAGAGTGTTCAGGTTTTATAATATAATGTAAACTGGCATTTTAGTGAAGAATCCAGAGAAAAGGGGAGCAGTGTGCAGGTGTTTGCCACACAGTGTTATAGTGTCAGAACTTTGAGAAATGCTTCCATTTTATTTATGAAAACCGGAAACGTACTGCCTTGAATAGCCCTGGCTCACTGGACTTTACTCTTTTAGGAGTTTGTATTACTCTAATATAAAAAGCTCCAGGGAAATTGTAAAGTGTTTAGACTTGCTTTTTGGGATCAGAGGCGGCAGAGTTTGAAAGTTCAGACTACAGTGGTCCCATCTGTCGTTTTGGACAAAATCTCTTCCAGAGGAAATATTTAGCACTTCCTATATATTGAATATTCTCTCCACTGTGTACGTAAGGTCATAAAATATAAATAGCATCCAGTGAACTTAGCCACTCAAGTCTTTGGCACTGCCTGAACAAAAGAGGGTTCAAGCTCCAATGAGCTTCGTGCAAGGATCCTCAAGAATAAACTACAAATTCTTGTACACGGAAACCCTTTTTGAAAGAAATGAACTGCTGTTCTTTTTTTAAGTTGTTGGTTACAATGATTGTGTCATATCTGTTAATAAAGCTTTTGATGTTAACTTATTGCTCCAGTTCACTTGAGTATTTGGAAAATGGGCCTCCACGGCATCTTGGTATCCACTCTGAGTATTATTTGAATTGAAATTACTATCTCATTCTGCTCAGGATTGCACTTTTGTGCAAATTTGTGTTTGTTACATGTACATGTGTGTTGTTATCCTAAAGTAAATTTCTTGTATGTATTTTAGGTCACCCTGAACAAGGGTGTGTACTAAGCAGAAAAGCAATCGGAAAGGAACTAGGAGATAGACTAAAAGCAGGGTGATTTTTTAAGATAAAGCTAAGGGGCATAAAGGCTGAAGAGTTTGTCATCAATTCCAATCTTTCAACTTTTTATGATAGCATAACGGAGATACTAAGATCTGTTTAGGTTGCTCTCAAACATTATAAAATCATTAATTCTCTATCTTGATCCACGTTTTGTTTAATAACGTAATCTAATCAGACTTTGTCCTTTGGAAGTCAAAATGTTTTATTTTCCCCTTTGAGAACCATGTATAAATGTCTGATGCAGATACCTGGGGGACAACAAGCACTTTTTTACCTGTGCTTTCTGCATCCAAGAGTAGATTTGATATTGTAAATATAGTGCAACTTGTTTTGCCACATGAAAAATATTTGATAAATATAGAATTTAAAAATTGCTCTTATTTGAAGTAACTCACAAACTGACCTGAAGAGCCCAATCCGTTCTTCTGTTACTCCATGAATGGGCCTAGCAGTATAAGCATGCCAATCCAGTACTGTAGTCAAATAAATGTACTTATTGCCCTCATTTATTTAAAAAAAAACTAAACAAATTCTTGTGAGCTTGGATTGATAGAATTTCTTATCAAATTGGATTTATTTTATCATTGTCATTTTTAAATGATGAGTTTGAAATGATTCAGTAAAAGACTTGCCAATGAGTAATTCCCATAATAGTTATGCTTTCCAGGCTCTGAACCAAGTATAAAATGACACAGTCACGAAGCCCATTGTACTTGAGCTGCTCACTGCAGGAGCTGTGCCTGGTGAGAGAGGGGATGAGCAGTGTGTGACCTGCCTTTTGGTGTTGTTCTAGGGAATGCTCTCAGTACTGTGAAGTGCAATGAGAAAGTGAAGGTCTTCACTGTCAGAGGGACTTCCTTTGAAGCTGCGTCTGTGTCTGGAGGCAGTGCTGCTACTGAACAAGGTAAGATTTCTGGCAACCACATCTCTCCCAGTCCAGCTCAGTGAGGATAATTTTGAACTTATCCACTTTGTTGGCAGTGAGGACAGTCCAGACCAAACCTTTTATGAACTGTGATCTTCCACTGCGATCTTGCCGATCAAAACCAGCACAATCCTGTGATTTCTGAAATTTGGCCAGGCACGTCCTGGAGCTCGTACGGACCTCTGCTTTGCCAATGATAACTATCATGGTCAATTATACATTTAATATACATCTAGTCAAAATGTCATAGATTCTGCATGGGGGACTTTTAAAATCTAATTACACTGCTATAAGCCAACGGACAGAAATGCTGTCAAGTCGAGCACCTGATGTTTTTGTCCCCAGAGTTCTGAAGCGTGCAAGAATTGTTGGGACCATTTTAGCCCAGATTTATTCAGAGAATTTAAATTTTCAGTATTAAATGATTATATAAATTATAAGTTGGTTCTGTGTGTAGTACTTTTGCTTCACAGCTCCAGGTTCCTAGGATTGAATATGGCTCTGTCTGTGCAGAGTTTGTGTGTTCTAAACAGGTTTGTGCTGTTTTTTCTGGGTTGTCCTTTTTTCTTCCAACGTCCCAAGACATGCTGTCTACGGCATTTGAGTTGGTGTCTCCTGATTGCCCCATGTGTGTGAGCCCTGCACTGGACTGGTGTCCCGTCCGGGGTGTAGTGTGGCCTTGAGCCCTGTGATTTCTGGGTTAGGCTCTGACTCACTGCAACCTTCTACGGGCAAAGGGTTTACTGAAAGAGGAAGGATCTTGCCTGTCGTGGTTTGGGCATGAATGAGTAAGGGGTGGTAGTAGAGATATTGCTGTATGCTTTGCTCGTCCTCCAGTTTCTCCCGCTGGTGGTGTGGGCCTGTCGGAGTGGCTAGAACAGAACCTGAGCAAGAGTGATCGGCCCGAGCTGACCAGTGCCAAGGTGGTGGTGTCTGGAGGTAAGAGCTTCACAGTTCACTTTTGCCCATTGTACAAATGGGATGCACATTATGACCAGTTGACAGGGGCCCATATTAATGAAAAGCCAAACAATCTTGAGTGTGTGATCTTGCAAGTATTGAAGTGTATTTTCAAGGTGATTGCACTGGATTGTTGTATCGCGTGTTGGATGGTTGACTGGTCTAGTTCAGCAGTTTGTTTTACCGTAGGTGTTGTAACTGTTTTTGTGCTTGTTTCAATTAGGGAGAGGGCTGAAGAGCGGAGAAAACTTCAAGCTGCTATATGACCTGGCTGACAAATTGAATGCTGCAGGTATGCACAGAAAAACCTCTGGTACCTCTTAAGGCATCGTGAACAAAAGAGCATAGGCAGCAAGCAAGCTGAGGTTATTTAGAAGTGAATTGTATTGTGCATCATGCTAGAATACTACATGCTGAGCATAACTGAATAGTGTTTCTTTTTAAAATATGCATTGTATTTCCTTTTGACTTGGGGGTTATTGGGTTTACTTCAGATGCAGCTTTCACACTATTGAGTGCAGTGGCTTTTCAACAGTTTTGTGCAATAAAAGTGAAATTGTGTTCTCTGTGCAGTGGGAGCTTCAAGAGCTGCTGTTGATGCTGGCTTTGTTCCCAATGACATGCAGGTTGGACAGACCGGAAAAATTGTGGCACCTGTAAGTAGTAAAGTTTTATATAGTGAAAAGTGCATAAATCTCTCTTTCTTGTGATATTATGCACTGTAATGCACGTGAATGTTAGCCTTTGTTTGCCATGTCTTATAAAACAAAATGAAGACCTACTGTTTTGCCATGGGTAGTGTTTCTGAGTGATTGATGCAGGCTCACAGTAATGTGTTTATGTGGAAGGCATGGACTTAATGACTGTAATAAAGCCGAAATGGAAAAGTCTTTTGTCATGGGGAGAAAAAACCAACCAGACTTGGTGCAATAAGGCTAGTCTCAATTTAGACACTGCAGTGACATAACCTAGCACATAGTTTTGTATAAATGAATGGTATTTGGTAGTTTTATTCCATGACCACTAATGACTTTACATTAGACTTTGCAATAGTCCTATTTAAAGGGATAACGTATCAAGCCAGGACCCTTCATCACACCTGGTATCATTGTTCTTCTTGTCTTTTGTAGTGTCCATAAGGTCTAAACTACATAGTTTCAAAACCTCTACAACTAGCATTGTTTTTCAGATCATCGCAAATAATGACAAGCAGGTTTGCAAGCTCCTTAGAAAGCTCAGAATCTGACAAGAACTCGCAGGGACTGAACTTGCATTCTTGGAATGTTGCAAAGATCGTTTATAAATATACATTTATCAAGACAGTTATAAATCTACCTGAGCAAAATTGCTGGCGTGAAGGTGAGAGCTTATCAATTAACTGACTGCTAGGTGGAAGTAGTGTGGCCTACAAACAAAACTAAAGCTCAGGCTTCTTTCTCTTTGTGCAGAATATCTATTGATTTTTTTTCCCCTGCTCTCTCCAAAGAATGGAGTAGCTAGTTCAAGCATCATATACAATACTTAGGAATAATTTTATTGATTTTTTAAAAAGAAACAAAATAGATAAACAGTCTTGAATGTGTCTTGGTGTGTTTATAGAAAACACAGCACTCTCATGTTTCTGGGCTTCATCCGTCATTTGAAGAATGGTCTGTATAGAGAAAGGGGCATTATGCCTCCATATTTCAGACCGTGTGCAGTGCTGCGGTGGATTTAATAAACCGGACAGTTAAAGAAGTGTCAGTGCTGATTGCTGGATAATGCATAACGTGCCTTACTGAAATCCATCTCTTGTTGAAAACACTGTGTTCCATCTGATGTGATGTATCTGTCCTTTTGTATGATAAATGCTTCGTGACCTTTTCTGTTTTCCCTGTGTAAATGCTTTTCTTGTTAATTAAGAGTGTTATCAATATACTATTTTAGTTATGGAAGTAATTGAAGACCAGTTACGAAGAAGTACGACCTTATAGGTACAATCACTCCTCCATGCAGATCTGAGAGATTGTCTGCATGCAGAAACTTTAGACCACAGAAGTAAAATCTGTGCTTGAAACCTGGAATCATGTGGATATTGTAATACGTTTTGATTAAGCAACTGATGATGACGGAAAGATATTCATGTTGTATATGCTCTCCTGATTTAAAGTAATATATAAGCAGAAGTTGTTAATCTCTTTGCAGCTGAACAGAGCTGCACAGGCTAGATCATCTGAGCATGTTCTTACTAGCGTGTAAATGTTTTGTACATTTGTTGTCTAATAATAGGTTCAGTTTATTTTTTACATGTAAGAATGATCCATTCACAATGTAAAGAATGTATACTTCATGCATATATTTTATAAAGATTTGTGTAGATCTTCAAGTTTCAAAGAACATCCTTTCAGACAGCAAGTGCCAGCGTGTGTTTTCTCCTGAATGACAGAATGATGTTGTTTGACACATTGTTCTTTTTCAAGCATCTGTCTGGTGGAAAGGGGCCACTGAGATCACTGCAGATTGTGTAAAATCTTCCAAGCACATGTCCTGACTCCTTAATATAATCAACTGTCTTTCCACTGAGTTCCAAAGATTTTGTTTTACAGCAAATAGGGCTTTCACAACTGATTGTTTCTTAATGCATATTAGCTTATTATGCCTCTTAATTTATGGTTTCTATACATTTTTATAATTCACATGCTTTGTGGTGTGATGTGTTTCCACATTAACACAAGAAGTCAAAAGTGTTGCACAAAAGGTTAATTGGGACTGCATCACACTTATTTAAAAAAATCAGTTCTAGAGATCTTTTTAATGATCAGAATGTGAAGAAATGTTAAAGGTGGGTGCAGTGTAGTCTGTTTCCTCTCTTACCTCATCTAAACAAGTGTATGCTGGTTCAAGACTGTTGTTTCTGGCTTGGTTTCATGTCTTTACGAAGCCTCTCACATGTCTGATTATTAAAGTGTGATACCCTGAGCTGCAGGAAGAGCTCTGATACAGCAAAAAGAACTCTGCAGTTGAATTTATGTTCTGGCAGAATGAGGTGGTATATATAGCAATAAGCAAGCAAGGCTTCTTCATTACAAATCTGTCCAACCGTGAGCAAAAATATTTTACACTATTTTCAGGCTTCTTGAGTTATACTTCCGGAAATCTAAATTATTTTAGGGTTTCAAATTGAATAAGCTTAAAAAGGTTAATTTTCCATTATCCTGTTCAACTGGGATATCCCAGCTGTCATTACCCACACATTAAGGGAGCTTAAACCACCTGAAATTCAGTTAATGGCTGATTTGAAGTCCTAAATGATTTACCATATCCATTAGTGAGTCTAACAAGAAGAACAGTAAGTGTTCGCCCATCCCCCGGTCCTGGAAATTGCTGCCAGTGTTACCTTTTGTAGGTTTTTAGTTTTTTCTCTTGCTGTCTGTGTGTATTTGAGTTTAATTGCAACCTCTGTTTTTATTTTCTGGGCAAAATTAAAATCCTGAACTGATGGTTTATTAACCATCTGCTGAAAAATATAAAAAATAAGAAGTCCTCATGCATGGTATTCTGTATTATTATAATAAAAGTGGAACCATGTTGTGGATGTATAATTCATAATTCTTCTGAGTTAATGCAGTATTCACGTAATAATTAATATTTATTTTTGATTGCTGCCTTAGGGCATTTCTGCAGTGCTGGGTAAGGAACTAGTCCCCGGTTTGCCTGATCTGTGTAACTGTCTGTCGTTTGTTTTATTTTACAAATGCGTGACGTGTATTCTTTCTGTGTAGAATACTCTAAAGCATTAACTAACTTATTAGGGCCTTTACAGGAATAGATGTCAGTCTGAAGAAGAGTGCAACACCTCATCAAAAATCCATTGAAAGGGCTGGGAAAACTATCTGCTTTAATCTTTATTTTGCATCCATTTGTTCCTTTAACACTTTTTCCTTAGTGTATTAAATGTATCTGAGGATTGATGATGGGTAAAATATGCAATTTGCATTTTATACCTCATGTTGTTCTCTGTTCATTTTGGTTATATCTGATATTTCATTAATTTTCTCTGAATTTATGCGCTTAATTAGGAGTTAAATTAATTATGGGATGTTTGGTTTGTGGAATCCATTTTGTCATGGATTATTGCAGTTGCTGTTACAAACTTGCTTCATTTTATAAAAATGTCTAAGACAGCCTTATAGTTTTTAAAAGCCAGTGATGGTACGTCAAGTCTGGTTGTCATCTGAGAAGAAGATCCATATCAGCTCTTATTTCAGCAATCTAGTTGCCCGTGTACAATTGAGTGGAGTGTCTCAAACCAGGGATGCAGTTATAGTTCTATGTCAATAAAAAAGCCTAAAAGTGCAAAATTGTATAAGTATGTTTATTTTTTTCAGGGAAGTAATGAAAGTTGCTTAGTTGAAAAGACACCGGTCACTTGTCAGAAACCAAAGGCAAGACCTACTAAAAAAGTGTTTTATATAACACTACGTGCAACTTAGCTCAAACTGTGTCTGTAACAAACTGGATCAGTATTCTGTGCCTTGGCTGCCGGGGACGTTAGACATTAAAATCATCGTGCATTTTTGCTGCCTTTGACAGGAGTTTGAAAGTGATTTCTCAAAGACTGACAAACCAAGGAGATGGATCTCCTTATGGTGTTGGAGAGTAGGGGATTGTGGACAAGGCTGTTAAATAAACCATCTTCAGTAACACGTACCCTACTGTTCCATTTAGTGGATTGACTGGATTTCCTGACAAAGCTGGTGTGATTTATTCTGGGATTTCTCACCCTCACCTCGTGTGTAAAGTGAGTATGTTGTGGGTAAGAGTGATGTAGGAAATGCGTTTTTACCATCGGCAGCTAAATACTTCATATGGTGTTGCTTTAAAAACAGCGGATTCCCGTATTTGTTTTTGTATTGTTCGCAGTCATAGAGGGGGGTGGGCGGTGCAGAAGATGACATTTTAAAGGAAGACGCGGGTCTCGGGAATGCTTAGCATGGGCCGTGGTGTCAGCGGTGTGTTGTTCCTTTGTAGACATTAGTATTCACATACCTGCGAGCTGGCGGCTTGTAAACCCCTTGTCTTCTGACACCTGGGGGGAGATGGCATGTGTAAAGGGGTGGATGTTTGCATCACTTTGGGGTATTTTATCACCAGGCCGGCAGGTGCAGTTGCTGCTCTCTCGGCAGCTGTGAGGGAGAAGGGTACTAGACGGCAGATGATAATAGCTTAGGGAAAACTGACCAAGCTTGGCAAATTGTCTGGCCATTTGTTTCTCTCTCCTTTCCCTCTGTATATATTTTGAAATGAAGGTCTGTCCAGAAGTAGACTGAAGTGGGAAACTTTGGAGAGCTGTTTCCATGCAGCTGGGGACCAGGGAACACAGACTAGTCCACCCCCCCTCGCAAAAAGCACTAGATTGACAGCCCCTTTCATACTGTATTATCCGGCCTGGCTTTTAACTCCAGGAGAACTGTGTTCACAAATTGATGCTCTGCTCCTCAGGGGCTGGTGCAGAAACATTAAATTGTACTAAAATATTCATATGTGAGTGCATTTAGCTGAAAGCAATTGATGTGGTGCTCCCAGGAGAGAAAATGGAAATGCTGCTGGGCCCCGCACTCTGGCAGACACCCTAAGCGCTCTTCTTAAGAGTAATTACACGGCCTGCCTGATCAAAGCCCTTGAAAAGCTTCTTGAAGTGAAGAGGATTAGAGCTGGTTGGAGTTGCAGCGTACTTGGGGAGTTTTAGACTTGTAGCATCCTTGTCTTAGGGCAAGCTTTTCTGAGACATGCTGGGTTTTGTTTGGGACGTTCTGGACATGCCAGCCTGTTAGGTATCAGAATGGAGTTGGTTTAAATTTTAAGTTTGGTATAAATTTGTACTTAAAACATGGAATTAGTGGCACATGTGGATTTTTATTAATTATTTTTATCTTATGGAAACATTTTATTACATTATGTTTATATAATTTTGTATCACTGTGTTTTATAGGATTGCTTAAACTTGTTTAGCCTCTGTTCCCAGGTAGCTTGTTATTTCAAAACTATAATGAGTGAATTGGGTTAATTTCAGTGTGACTTTTGGCTATTGTATAGTTTTCATTTGGTCTAGTTTGGTGCTTACAGACCTCTTGCAACACTAATCATTAACTTTTGTGCAGACATTTTACAAAATATTCTACAGACAAATGTGTGTCTCAAGCAAAAGTATGCTTTTGCTACTGAAATAGAGCTGATGTGAACGAAATCTTAATGATAAATACAGTTGTATATTTTATAATATATTTGCTATCTGCTTATTTTAAAACGTTTGTTCCATTTTTACCAATTCTGGTATAAACTGGAAATGAGGGATTGTTTAGTCAAAGGCTGTTGAATTTGTCACTGTTGAGAACAGGTTTAAAGCTCATGATTTATGCCAACTTGTACAATAAATTTACACCCGTACCTCTTTCTATGTTCTTCTTATGAACATTGAATTCTATAAAGCATGTGAATTGTTGCCCACGCTTCCAATAACGAAAGCCAGCTTTGAAACTACAAGGAAGTTATACAAAGATACATTTATAAACCTCCGTCAAATGCAGAGAGTCATATGACTTGTTTCATATCGAATGTACCGTTTCCACTGACTTGTATGGGTGAGAGTCCGCACAGAGCCTACGGAGTGGTTACTGTTACTTTGGAATGCAGTGTTCGCAGTGTTTTTGAGTATTTAAAGCACAAACCACAGTATGGATGTTAGATACTGTTTCTTTTGTCATTTTCTGGTGACAAAAGTTAAAGAAGGGGTAACATTTTCGGGGTCCAGAATGGATACTGGAATTACTGGAAATACTGGAATTACATTCCAAAAAGAGGTACAGGTGTATTTTGTTTATTCTTTTTTCATCAAGACAAAACTTTATCTTATGACAATAATATTTTGTACTAAGGTTTCAAAGTCTTGGCAACACCAATAAAATGTATGGTCAAATTCTTCGTTAGATGGGAAACCTTTTTTTTTTTAATTTTTGAATACATCCAAAGTGCATGGCCATGTTTTTTAGTTTTTACTGATTTGTAATGATGGCTAAAATTAGTAATTGTGTTGAATTTATGAAGCACTTTTAACCCCAAAGCCCAGGAGGGGACCCACTTCATCCAAAGCTGAAATGCCCCCATCTAAGTGATGTGCAGTATGGCTTTTGCACCTGCAGGGCCACTGCGCCACACGTGGGGTAGAAAAGGGTGATCTTGCTTCACAAGTTGAGTGAAGTGGGAACGAGCTTCACAGAGGCCGGACACCAAGCATTATTGCTGCTTTGTGTGGTAGTAATGTTTGTAACCCGTTGATTGTAACAGCATGGTTATTGTTCCACAGTGGTAGATTTCCTCTTCTGTTTTTATCAGTTTTTATCCTTTACAGGTGTTGTATGTAAAAACTTGCTTTTATGTGTACCAGTTGTCGTAAAACACCTTATCACATTCATTTCAAGGAAAGAAAAACATTGTGTGTGTGCCTGCTTTTAAGGACTGCTTATTTTTCATAAACGGATTAGCTTTTTATTGCTTGTAATGGTTAGTATGACATCATTACCATAAATTCATCTTTCCATAAATGTTCTCTCAGTAGATCAGACAGTGACCTGACGTCTTGATTTATCACGATTTAGTCAAAATCAACACAATTTCAAGTGTTGGGTTTTAAAGCTTGCAGGGCCATGGGTATTCCAGAAGCACAGTCTTAGAAAAAAAAGTCTAGATTAGGGACTCCTGTTTGGACCCCTGTTCTGAGATTAAAAGAAAATCAAGGTTTATTCTTAAAGGGCATAACTGCGAGTGAGCTGAAAAAGTGAATGTAATGAAGCAAGAAAAAGCATGGTGTGATAGTTTATTTTCCTTATTGCACTCTGTCTGGTTCCCAAAGCCAGTTTAATAACCACTGAACAGGATTGGAACAGCTTAAAACTTTGGTTATAATTAAACAATTGTCTACAAAATGTTCTTTGTAGAATTTCCTGCCTTTACCCCCTCCTTAAGAACAACTGATTTATTCGTCATGTAGATGCCTTGAGGATGCCTCAGGTACTGGTAATTACTACCCACTTAATGCTCCTTGAATCCATGTTGATTTAGGTCACGCTGAACTGTTTGGTGAAGAGGCTTTCTGATTGTGCTTTTCCGTACAGTGGGAGAGAAAAAATGTATTTTTTAAAAAACTAAAATTTTGTTCAGTTTTGATGAACACTATTTGATAAAAATGATAAAATGTTTCCTGCTTTGTTGTGCAGACAGAAAAGCAGCCCTGTCGTTTCTCTTTAGACTCAGTACTCAACCAGTGTCCGTGAAATAACCAGTGTCCGAGAACCACTGTGGGATAATTGGGTTGACTTTCCATTTGCTGGATCAGTTGTCTGAATGTCTGCAAGTGTAGTTTCTTTCCTTTGCTTGTGTAGGCATCCTCTCACGAGGCACCAGTAGATGTAGGGGGTTTGTGCTTTTACTGGGACAATTATTAATTGTAGCAGTAAGTCACAAAATGATTTGATGGCTATTAGAATCAACCTTGCAGGATAACTCAAACACACACGGATACTAGTACACGAGAATACATTTATTAATACATAAAATGTGCATATAAACATAACAGATCTTATCGTGAGGGTTAGCAGAATACAAAAGGTATAGATTCAATCACGAAGAGTTACAAACCAAGAGGGACATACGTTCAGTATATCATTCATTTAGACCGTTTCGTAAATGAACTTGGATTACAACTTCTACAGTAGATACTCAAAAGCAAGTACGTCATTCATAGGAATTAAATTGATATCAACTGGGGTTGAGGTAACAATTGAATTCTCGAGCTGTAATGCAGAAGGTTGAATACTCATCCAATCTGTGGGGATTCAGATCTCCCTGGGACACAAAGCTTGTTGCTGTGTCCAGTCGGCGCTCTCTGGCTCGGTGCCAGGCAGTGGTATTGTGGCTTGCGACGTGGTGGAAGGAGGAAGAGATTCCTGCTGCGATGCGCTGCTGATGCTCTCTGAAGACCGGCTAGTTAGTGTTGGCTGAAACTAGCAGAGTTTCTGCACAGGAGAAAAGTGACTGCGGGTCCAAGCAGGTCACACTCTTCAGACAGGAAGAAGACCGGTTCGTTCCTGATGTAGTGCTAGTTCTGAATACTTAGATTCAGCTGTCCGCAGTTCCGACCGTAGTTCACTTGGTGATCAGGGGAGCGTTCGCGGTGGGTTCACGAGGGCTAACCTCAGGTGGATCCTTTGGTTACGCGCTGGCGACCTCCGTTCTTGACTCTTAGAACAAAGGAAAATCCTGCACTCCGACACACTGGCCGTTGCGTGGTGGTCCGGGCTGAGTCTGAGGATGTCCAGGAGGCGTGCTGAGGAAGCCCTGTGCTGCCTGTTTTACCTGGAGGCGCTACGGTCATTCATTGGTTGAAACTTTCATGGCCATCCGAGCCGCACATGGGGTTAACCTGCCCCACCAGCTCCTGATTGGCTGATGATGAGTAACAATGCACTCTGACCTTAGAGTTGTAAACAACTTTGGATGAGACTCTCCCAGAATCTCCCAGACTTTAAGGCGCCAGAGATGACCATTTGTTTGGGTGGTTGATGTGTCTCAGCCTTGGGAGTTGTTCCTTATCAGGACACTCTATCAGCTAGGAAACACCTTAATTGTGAACCAAATGGAGTGGCCTCTCTGTATCAAGCACCACTGAGATGAAGGAGAGAGGGACTGGCAAAGGAGCAGCAAACTTAATTCCTGTATTTTAATAAGCCTTGCCGCTACACTTGTAATATTAAGATTCTAAGGTCTGATATCTACAGTATATGGGAATTCAATAATCTTATCAGGGAATTTAGCAACTACAGGATTAAGGCTAGTGTAGGAGTATCTAGGTAAAGAGTCACAATGGCTGGAGAGTGTGCAGTTCTGCTGGCATTGTAACAGAATTATTTAGAACAGAAGATCTAAAAAAGCTCAACAGTGTCCCAATCAAACCTATTTTAATCACACTAACAGAACCAGGTATTAATAGCCACCAGCCCGCCAGATGTCCTCTGGCTGGGCCATGCAGTCTAGTCTGGATAGTGTGTGTGGTTGTGATCTCCCACCCATTCTGCTGTACCTGTATGCTTGTATTACATGGAACAAAATATATTGGAGCTGTGTTCCTGACTAGTCCAGAAACATAAAACCAAATGAGGCCAGCACAGGCCTCCTAGTGAAACGACAAAGACCACCTCTGCACACCTTTAATGTTCTTGAACTGGATCATTGTTGGAGTTCACTCCTGAACGGTCTCCTTGCTTTGGCACGCTCTGACATTGAAACAGAAATGTTAACATCAGTTCTTAAATGTGTGTTTTTAGAGTGCTGTTTATAGCTAGACTGTGTGCAATGCACAAAAATAGATTTTAAAAAGGACTATGACCTGGTTAACCAATTGTTTTTTATGTCTTCAAGCTTGTTTGAATACTGTGGATACTGAGATTTGCTCTTGTATTGGCACTTTAATCTACAGGAGCTGTACATCGCTATTGGCATATCTGGAGCTATTCAGCATCTTGCGGGCATGAAGGACAGCAAGGTATGTCTTCAAGCATTCAGCTATTTTAATAAGTCTATTTAAAACCTTGAAATAAAAATGTTATGGATAGAATGAGTTTAACTAGTAAGCATAACTGCACCTGTCTTTAAACAGACCATGAATTTCATAGTGAGAAAAACACTTCATAAGAACAATTTTTCATATTCTTAAATACTGATTATGTTCTGATGGCATGTGAAATATGCTACACATTTTCTATATATTGTTTTAAGAGCAACCAATTACATATAATAGTGTATGGAAATGTGTGTGTGCTTGCTGTGTCGAGATTTAAACAGCCTGCTGCAGATGGTGTGTTAAATAAACACGTCACAAGCATAAATTTGCAGGCATTTTAGAAGAATGCCTTATTTCTGGTCTGTTTGTTGAACCCCATCAAGTATGTTTGCTAATTTCACCGTCTGACACATGAATTCATGCATGACGATGTAGTATTTCAATTATGGGGCCTGCATGCCATGGAATTAAGGATGCCTCTGACATTTCTGCAGAGGTGCCACTATGTGGAAGTGCCGCAGAAAGGCAATGAAACTTTAAACAGGTTTAATCCAGAGCGCCCAGAGCATCCATGTCTGATTGCAAACTTTTGTTCCTTGTGCGACAGATTTTTGCCTTCAGTTCTTAGGAGCCTTAGCTGGCAGAGTAAATGTGCGTGCACCCAGGAGTCTCCATGCGGCCTTGTTCTGAAAGTCATTTCTTAAACATTCTGCTGTACCTCTAAGCTGCAGTGCAAAACATCATAAAGCATTGGATTTAAAAAATAAAATGTTGCTGTCCTCTGCTTGTTAAGCTTAATTACTCTTGGTTGCATGTCAGGGAAGGTGAAATGCTTTCTACATACTAATATTGAACTGTATTTGAACAATTTAGCAGAATACACGCAATATAAACATGATTAATTTCCTCCTTAGACACAGGTTATTGAAGAAGCAGGTGTGCATTTTCATATATTAATATGCTTTCACTTCCTTATACTGTTTAGCTGACATTTTTGTTGTTTTTCAGAATATAAAGAACACATTTTGAGACAATTATGAACTTAAGTATTTTCAAACATACAAGAAGGAATCATGGGTAGTTACGGAGCTCGGATATAAAAGAGTGAAAGATGTGAAAATGTACATTTTCCTTTTTATTAGTGGCGGTGGAGGTGCCCAAAGCCTTGTTTAATAATTCCTTTAAATGTGCAGTTGGATAAATGTCTCCTAACTGGGAACTAAGTAGTTATTGTGTCTGGAGTTCAAATCCAGCCTACTTTTTGCCCATCTCAGATTTATCTTATTTCTTTCTCCTCTTGTCGCTGCTGTGACCCACTTTTAAAATAAGTAATGGAGGAGAAGCTACTTCCACACTCCTAGAAGAGAACAGTTTTATGTAAATGTGAAATGTAAAAATTCCTGTGTAGCCATGGCAACTGTCTCCTGAGTGAGCTGCTTTTGCCATGCGGGTTATCTTCATCGGGATATCCGTGCACTTAAGAAGTATGTTTTAAAAGGGAACCTGAGAAGCTTTTTAAAGAACTATGTATAATTTATTTGTATTTTTCTCTTGCTTCAGAGGCTCTTGAAAGAATGTTCTGGGTGGGACGTATTTGTAATATCTTGACCAGGCTCTTATAACAATGTGGGAATGGGGCCGTGGGTTTCAGAAGTGGATCGTGCAGAGAGAGGAAGTTTGACCACATTCACCTCGAGTAAACATTTGTCTCTTGTGTTGAACAAAGGCATCAAGTGTGTATATATATATACTATTATGTTAATCATGTTTCAGTTTTTTAGCATTGACTGTTCTTGCTCAGCATGTTCTAAACAGACGTTTTTAATAAAACATACATAACTCATTTTTAGAGAAAATAATAGGGTGTTTAAGTTTGTTAGAAAGATTAGGAGCATTATGTATTTTTAATGTAACAATTAATAAAATTATTTTTTTTATAAAGCCTGATAAATGTTAAGGAAGAAATGTACATAGTGGTGCTAAATCTTAATATTGTGTCTTGTTGTATCTAGACTGTTTTTTATTACAGTGGCCATACTGACAATTTGTCAGTATCACAAACATAGGCCCTTGGTGTACATCTCATGGGTCTCTTAGCTGCTGTCTGTATGCAGGAGAAAAATGAATCTTGTATAATCTTGTATTTTCAGACAATTGTTGCAATTAATAAAGACCCAGAAGCTCCTATCTTCCAAGTTGCTGACTATGGCTTAGTTGCTGATCTTTTCAAGGTAAGATTGTTACATATCCCCTCTCCAGAAGCTATATACTAAGTAGATCGTAATAAAAGCAGTGCTGAAATGTTTAAAACTGCATGTTTTTTAAAAAATAAGTTCACCAGTTGTGTTTTTAAATCTTATTTTATTATTATTTCCACTCTAGTTTTAAAATTAAGATTGTTTTCTTCTAAAATGAAACACAGACTGAAGGAATGTTCCAAACAGACACCTTCATCAACTGTACTATTGGTAGGACAGAAACCTGAGTTAGTACTCCTGGCACTAGCTCGCTGTTCAGAACTAAGTGCAGGCCTGCACCAAAATTACTGTTATTTCTAATTCATGACAGCATTTAAAATTTCAGTATCTTTTTCGATGTGGCATCGGCAGTTATGACAGGTAAAGTGTGGAAAGAAACCTGAGGGAAATTGTCAGATCTAAAGCTCCTAAACATTTCTGAGTTGGCTCAGCGCTTAATTCAGCTGTGAGTATGGAACTAGAAACCAGGCTCGTTTCTGACTAGGAAGACAGTACAGATATGTATTTTCCCCTCTGTTGTACAGGATGACAAATACGTAGCTTTTATTTAGAATGATATATTTGGAAAAAGTGGCCATAGATATTTGAATAATTTTCTTTTAAGCCTAACCTGGCTTAGACAGACGTCTAAAATATAGGACCTGTGTGATTTCTGCTCCAGAGATGGGTCTGGTTTTTGACGTTGCTGCTAAATCGTTACAAGAAACAAGTGCTGGTATTGCTCTTCCAAAGTGCCTCAGCTTCCCAAATATTGGCTACTACACTAGTTCACATTTCTAACATGCGTGTTTTTCTTGCCCCTATTAAGGTGTTGCTGGGACTGTTTGGCTCTTATTTGATTGTTGTATGTACAGTATGTTACTTGGTAACAAAAGTGTGTCATTGAGTGCATCCAGGACAGACTTCAGATTGTCTCATCACTTACCGGGAATAGGCACCTTTCTGATGATGTATGAATACGTCGATTTTTTTCATCACGGACAGTTTTCTTAATGGTTTTCATGGTTGTTCAGTTGGAAGCGCTTTAAGGAAGTTAAGCATTTACAGAACTGAACGGTTTTGCTGTTGCTTATCAGTTTAGTCTTGATATAGTGGAAAGAAGGTACTTTACGTTAAATAAATTGTTAGACGTTTGGAATATTGATGAATATTCTTGAGAAGTTTTAAGTGTAAAGAATATAAAGTGGCCATATACTCTTATAAGTGGGAAATGGTTAGCTATGCTTATAGAAATTCTCCTCAGCTTGCCAATTGAACATTACAAACTTGAGCTTGATCACAAGTGCAGTGTGGGCAGCAGGATTACAGTAAAAAGCCACCACTAATAGCCTGGGTTGTAGTTTTTAGTTTGCAGGTAAGTCCAAGCTTTCGTAGCACCTGACCCGTGAGACAGAAAATTATTTCTTGAAGAAATACTTGATGATATATTAACAAGTGTTACACCGAAAGGAGCTGGTGTCTCAAATATTCCTCTAAAATAAAACCCTTCTCTATTTATTTTTATCCCAATGTTCATACACTTTTCTACATTCCTGTTCAGACTAAATCCCGTCTGACAGTCCAAATTTCTTTTTAGTTTCACTTTGCCTTAAACTAATTTCTTTTTTTTTCTGACACCCAGTCAGACACCTCCACTAATTTTTTCCTTCACACCAAACCATTATCTATCCTCTGCAGCCACCCATGTGTTCAGCAACCTTTATGCTAATTACAGTATCACACGAACCAAGTTCTTTTCCTTTAGCTTTAACTTACCAAGTTACCGTCCCCGGCTCCACTACACATACAGCTCAGGTTACCACCCTGAGATCACAGCTTCTCCACAACAACTAAAGAGAACACAGCCTACGGCAAATATCAGGTGCGTCAGTCCTGGGTTTACTGGGTTTACCACACTAACCGGGCGGAATGCTAAGTCTCAGCAATTCCTCTATCTCGACCCCACCGCCCTCTGCCAGTATCTTTCAACTGGGAGACTACATCCAGTATATTTCAACTGGGAAAACACATCCAGTATCTTTCTACTGGGAAAACAGCCGGCACACTTATCAGAAGTCTACCACCACATACACCATGAACTCATTATTTTGTACTCGCTTCAGCTTCAGAAAGACCCTCGGCAGCAACATGGAGAGGATAAGGGACTTTTTAGAAAAGAGGAGTCCTTACCTCTCTTTAGAAGCGGCCGCCTAGCTTTTCCTCTCCACCTCTCTGTCAGAGTCCCCTCAGCTGGGAGTACCCTGCTCCGCAGCGCCAAATTGTAGTGTCAAACAAATGACAAAGTTCAGGTGTCTGTGAAGCAGAAGTCTCTTTATTCATATGCAGATGGAAGTCCGGCTTGCAACCACCAGACTTAAAAAATAAGTAGCTGAAGATGGTCCTTTACACCTTAAAACAAAAAGAGTTACTATGACACATTCTAAACAAATGATAAGACAGCAACGCATGTCAATTAATTATATCCAAGTTGCAGACTAGACAACAGTTAGTTCTTTTCAAATTATGGGCGTACAGCCAGCTTACCAAATACATGCCCCTTATCTTACTGACCAAGGACGGGCAGCATCTTTATGTATATTTGAGCACAAAGCCTACGTTAAGCCACTAGACTGCATAGTTTGCAAAAAACTACAAAGACAAGAAATGATATTATCTCACTTCCCGGGCGTCTCTCTTATCTTCTTCAGTATAGTGCTGTTTCTCAGTAAAAAAAAGGCTGAGAATTGACGGCATCTGTGAACACCCAGACTTCCAGTGTATTGCAAAGTTATCTTAAATATTGAGAGAGCTGCTTGTTGTGGTGGTGTAGGCAAGAGGACCTGAAGGATTCCCGCCTCTCCTGTTTCTCATTTCATTGGAGCTGTTCTTCAGTGAGCCTGGTTTCTGATTGATTCTTAGGACCCACTTTCGGATGATTCAGAATTTGGACAGGGTTTGTAACTGGCCTCGTCTTTGAGCCAGTTTCCAGGTTTTGCACCTGCCCTGACTCAGGTTTATGTCATGGAAGTGTCTGATACTGTCCACCTGTGCCAGTTCACCACACAGGTCACATCCTCAGGGTTAAGACGGGCGTAACGCAGCAAAGATTTAAATGAGTTGAGAAGAGACTGGGTGGGGTCTGAATGTTAACTACAGGAGTGTTGATCAAATCAGTAAATACAGCACCTGCCTTGAACTGCTGGTTTATCTGTTGGAAGGGGTAGCTTTTTTCAATTTAAAATTATATTCTTTTCACCTCTTTGTTATTGACTTCATCTTTAAATTCATGCAACCTCTACAATTAGCTTTATCTATTAATGTTAATCTGTGTATTCTAAACCCTTGTGAGTGAGTATTAATTAATTATTTTGAATATTAAATATTAAACCCTATGCCTAATGGTCATTGCTAATGCAGCCAGCCCTTTCTCAGATCATGACAAGAAGTACTTCCTTCTACATTTTTTATATCCCAGCTCACCCAAGCAATCCTGCACTTTAGCAGTGCTCTCATACATTACCTCCTACCTACATACACACCCAAGGAACGGGATTAACCTATATTTCATTAATCAAATGCACATTAAACATTAGGCAGAAGAATAGTTATTAATTATAAAGTTCATATTGAAAATGAGGTTTGCGCCCAAATAACTTAATATGGTATAGCCCAGAGGTTTATGACAAATTGAATTTGTGAGGCTTGAAATATTTTTCTAATTTAAAAAATGTAAGCATATTTTTTTATATTTTAAAACTTTTCTTCCTGAACTTGCTCTGTTATACTGTAAATGCATTGTAGCTTTGCAGGCTAGTAAGTCCTGGATGATTTTTTTTCTTTCAAATTGTTTTACAAAAAACACTATATAAAAACAGACCTTACATGCAACCAATAATACAGTATACTCCAGGCAGTGTCTAAAGTCTGAAAGCCTGTTGGTTTTATTCCATACTGCGATTTGTGAAATAATAGTCAATGTAATACAATAGGTGATTAAGTAGTACTGTACATCTGTCCTTATAAAGACTATTTGCTGAATGTTTACATGCAAAAACTCTAACAGTTAAAACGTTTTTTTTTATGTTACGTTTTATGTAACAAAAAACACAGGTAATGGTCTTTAAAATAATATCTTTCCATCGTTTTTAATTTACAGAAAGTTTGATTTAATATGGAAAGCATGTTCAGATGAGCAGGCATCTGTTGTTCCAAGAATGTTTGCTTGTTCTGAAGACCGACTGGCACAGTCCAGACAGCGAAGCCACACAGGGAAATGACTGAGAGAGCTGCCAACATTTAATACTATTCCTGAGCTGAAGGCTGAGGTTTGGGCAGTAAACACAAAGGCATTTCAATAACCAAGAGACAAAGCGACAGTCGGAAGAAACAACATGTACACTATTTCCCTAATAAATTTTGTACGATGCATTATTCCACCTAATGGAAATGCAGATCTGCTAAATTATTGAAATCCTGAATTCATCGGTGGAGATTTCATCCGGGAGCCTTCTGCTGTGGGAGAAGCATTAGCCCTTGAATGGGAAATGGTAATTGATAGTTAAACACAAGCTACTGGTGTTATTTTCAAGTTTATTTTCTGTTACCTTCCATCAACTGTTTACATGCCTAGCTGGGTTTTATAGTGCCTGCCAAACTGAGTCTGGGCCCTGGCTTTGACAGAAGTGGCACAGTTGGACAGAGTGCCAGAGATTTGGCACAGACTTGGGTAGCAAGTTCTTTGTTTGCTGTAAAAGAAGGAGCAATGCCTTTTTTTTTCCTTTGGAGCAGTTCAGCTGTATGTCATTACTTATTCACCAGGTCTGTGATGTGTGACGAGCTCTAGTCTTTTAGTAAAACTCTATAAAAGTGAAGGGTATTAATAGGAGGCAGAACTGTGAGCTGGTAGCTGTGGGTTAAACCATGACTGATTCTCAAATAACTGTTTAAACCGACAGGTGAAGCATACACACTGCAGATCCCTTTTGTTATCAAAACAAGTTTTATTTTATCTGTGTCTAGATTTTTTAATATTTATATATATTTAAACTCGCTGTTGCTGCATCTCTTTTACACGCCTCTGGTTAGCTCTTTGCAATTAATACTCAGACATCCTGAACAGAAGTTTGTGTTTTACTCCTAGGCTGTTCCTGAAATGATTGAGCAGCTGAAGAAGAAATGAACTTCAAGTCGGTGAGCCTCCTGCCCCAGTTGTGCTCTCAGCAAATACAACAGTTAATACTTTCTATAGAAAAAAGCCTTAAAAATGTATTACGAGACTTGTTCTGATCTCATTTTGAGACATTCTTTATGTATAAGTCAAAAGTCTGTATGTTTTTTTTGCTGTACTCTGTGTAATTAAAACTAATTTTAATTATGTTAATCTGTGAAGGAATGGAGTCGAATCTTTGATGTGAAACCCAGTTAAGTCAACCCTCAACAGTTTCATAAACAATCAAAGAAGTACTTTTATTTTCAGATTGGCATCATAGAAATTTCTCTTCTGAAGAGGAAAAAAGGACATATTACAATAGCACTAACCCTGCTGTTAGAACAAAAATGACAAACATTTTCTTATGGTTCTTTTGTTTTTGTTAAGAATGTATTTTATGCTTAGTAATTACTTGGGCATCACAGATTTTTCAAGTCTTTAGGTGTTGGGTTAAACCTACAGGATACAGCCCTTCAGAAACAGATTGTGGACACTATACTGTGTCTGATTATTCAGAAGGAACACCTGACATGAATGAGCTGCCACCTAAATCACATGCTTTTGAATAAGAGCTGAAACTAATCGGTCACCTTAACTGATAAGGACCTTGACAGACCAAAGTGCACTATGTGAATTTGATTACTGTACTTGAGTTTTGGCCTAGACAGCACTGATCTTTCCTTCAAAAAAGATCTGGAAAGCAGCCTTGTGGTTTTCATCTCTGGGCATCAAGATTAAGCTACTGGATATAGCAATGTAGACTAGGTGTTAGGTCTGAAATGTAGACTAGCAATGTAGGCTATAGGTGTTAGGGCTGAAAACATTTGAGGTAGGAGACTGCTGCTTTACCCTTGAGCAAGCAAGATACTGCAGGATTGCTCCAGCTGAACCCAGCTGTTCCCAAGAAACGAGAACTATAATGTAAAAAACAAAGTGACTAACCTCTGTGAGTCACCTTGTATAACAGCATCAACTAAACAGCGTGTGGCACAATTAACTGTTTTAAATAGGACATTATTTCAGTTCATTTTGCAAGAATCACTTGTTGATGTTTGGCACATTAATTCTTATTACATAGTACATTAAAGTCAAATAAGCATGAAATGGTTGTGGTTGTTATGCATACCTCCATTAAATACTTATGAAGATTTAATTGCTATTTATTAACAATTAAAAGTGCAAGTGCAAGTGCACGGCTAGTAAAATTTAATTAGTACATTTAGGCTTCATTTTTATGATATGATGAAAGCCTTTTATAACACATTACTCTCGACAACTGAATGTCTGCAGTGACACTACGAAAGTGTTCTGGTGGTGACACTTCCCAAACCGTTGAACATTTTTAATAATTAACAGATTTGACAGGGCTATGTAAATGAGGTTCAGTTGCTTAATGTGATATCTTTGCTCCCACATTCAACTAGCAGGAGTTCTTTGAAACTATTTTTGGATTTTATGCAGAATATGTGGCAGATAATAGACACGTAGACATTCTGTTTATAGGATTTCTAATTCCAGTGAAAGTGAAGATACTGCAACAGTTATTTTCCTGCACTGGGAACGCCTTGTAAATGCTTTCTTCTTAAAGTGTCTTCATATTTTCCTGCCTATAAATATTAGCCTTATGTACAATGTGGACATGGTTACAACATGTCCATCAAATCAAATTCTGTCCACTCTTGCATGCCACAGAGAAACCAGGAGATGGACAGGCTACAGGACACATTATCATTATAGCATCTTGCTTCTGCCCTAACTGGTAGGAAGTCTGGCAGACTATAGACTGATAAGAGCCATGTGTTACACCTGGTCTGCCTCACTCCCTTTCAGACCTGAAACAGACAGGGCACATCATTGTATCAGTCAGCAAGGTAAATTCAATGGTTATTTGGGAAAGCGTAATCTATTGACCTTTAGTTTAAGTTACCATCAGTTACGCCACTGGGTCTATATACAGTGATGAGAAAAAGAAAGTGCACCCTATGGTTTTTATGTTAAGACATATCTGACCTTCATCTAATCCTCACCAAGTCCTAACAGTAGATAGAAAAAATCAGCCTACATTCAGTAGCCTTGTGTGAAAAAGTAAGTGCACCCTGTAATTCACTTACATGTAGAATCCACTTTAGCAGCAATAACTTGATATGTTTCCTGTATGTTTATCAGTCTCTCACATTGCCTGGGAGGAATTCTGGCCCACTACTGCTTACAAAACTGCTTCAGCTCTGTGATGTTTTGTGGACATTAATTTATGCATAGCATCTCAGTGAGTCTGTGTCCTCATTCCTTTCTTTTTCAGCTATTTAGTCGTAGATTTATTGGTGTGTTTTGGATTAATTGTGCTGTTGCATGATCCACTTTCAGGTAAGCTTTAGCTATTGGACAGATGTCTTACATTTTCCTTTAGAATGTACTGGTATAGAGAGGAATTCATGGTGGACTCAAGAATTGTGAGGGTCCAGGTGGTGATAAGCAGGCCCAAATCATCACCCCTCCAGCACTATGCTTGATAGGTTGGTATGAGGTTCTTGTGGTGATGGGTAGTGTTTGGTTTTCGCCAAACATATCGTTTTGCAGAAAAGCCTAACAACTCCACTTTGGTTTCCTCTGTCCAGAGGACATTGTCCAGGCATCTTGTGGTTCGCTCAGGAGCTGGTTTTTCAAACCTATGTTGTGTAACAATGTTCATTTTGGAGAGAAGGTTTTTTTACTGGCCTCCACAAAACCCTTCCTTATTCAGTCTTTTCCTCATGGCAGAATCATGGATTCTAATATTTACCGTTTTGAGGCCTGTAGATTCCTGGCTGTAGCTTTGGATTTCCTTGCAGCCTCCAGGAGCATCATACAGTCTGCTCTTGCGATGAACTTGCTGGGACGCCCATTCCTGGTAGAGTGGCAGCGGTCTTGAGCTTTCTCACTGTGGAACGGTAGACTCCATATTGTGTGGAAATGGCTTTGTAACCCATCCCAGAATGATGAGCAGCAACGATTCTTTCTCTGAGACCATCATAGGTATCTATTAAACTAGGCATGATGTGTTACTACACACCTGAATGCTCTACCAAAGTTTGTGATTTTATATACAGGTGGAAACACTTCCTAATGATTAGCTAAAACTAATGTGCACTTCTTTATGAGCACCTGATTCTAATTACCTTCTAAGCTCATATGGAAGCAAGTACGGATGAAGCCATGAAGCCAATCGCTGCCGTACTTTTCCCTGGAATGGTACTACAATACATTAATTCACAGGAAATATTTTTTTGTTTGCATGCAGCCAAGCTCAATAAGTGTAATAAAAGCAACACATCTTCATTTAAATTAACAAAAAAAGACAAATATAACAGTATCGGATCTAAAGGCCGTCCACAAGCTACTTTCAAGCCTCGTGGCTTTACCATCTTTCTGATGCACTGGTTTGGAGGTGGGGTTATGTGAATGGACTCTACCTCACTAAAGAATAAAACAGACACATCCGTTATCGGTCTGTGGGCACAGTCTCTTCGCAGTGGTGTGCAGATCTTGAACCCCACAAACACAAGATCAACAGTTTGTTTCCCAAGCGGGGTCCTTTATACCTCACCTCTAGGATGAAAAGGATCAGATATGTGAAAAAGATCGCTTCAAAATGGAAATTTTACCTTGACATGATTACTGAAATATTTCCACTGCTGTAGATGATGTCACTATAATACTCCATCATCCATAACTGCCAGAGGTGGAGCCTGACAGACATTGGACACAAGGAAGGAGATTGGACACCAGCCTGCTGCTGGAAACACTTTATAGACAACATGTCCTAGGACTGAAGGAGGAAACGAGAGCTGTGGTAGATAATAATTTGTAATAAGCTGTCAGGAAAGAGAAATATGCTGATCACATGACAAGAATGGGGCTAATTAAAATCTTTCCAATATGTTACAAAACATATTGTATGCATTTATGCAAGCACTTTGCCCAGCAAGCTCTCTTTGATTCCCACAGATTTTATATTAAAAGTTAGTCACTATTGGATCACATTCATTGTGAACAAGCTTCTGCATTATTCATGTCTTTCAATACACTTCAGTTAATTCAGGTTTTCACAGTATACTGCCCCTAAAAAATTATAGTATACATTTTACTGTATATGTTTGTGTATATTTGTCTTTTGTTTGTTGCAAAGCACCTTGAGAGGCTGTATCATGAACCAGACTTGTTCTTTAAATGGAGTGATGATTTTTTGCATGTTGGCTACAACAAAGACAAATTTGTGCACATCATGGGAGGTCAAATTAGAAATTAGTTTTTAATACAGCTTCCGTCTTTTGCTTCAGGACAAGAGGTCAGTGGAGAGCATCGATCATTCTCTTAATCTCTTGCTCGGCTCCACACTGCAACAGAGGGAACTGCAGGGTGGGTGGTCATTTAACAAGCTGGGATAATGCAGTGAGGTTCTGCAACTTGTAGGACGTTCTTATGGGCTTTACATTGGACTTCACATGAGGTTGCACATCTTTCAAACGCATCCGATTCAAGCACAGGCCTTGCAGTTGAAGATGGCGTCTAGGTGCAGTACGTATTTCCTTACTACACATACTTCCCCAGAAGGGCACTGAGGATCTCTGTGCCTGCCAGCCCGAGCCTTTTGTGGAACTATAGAAGGATTGCACGAGCAGTACAAAGAAATAGGAGTCCCCAGACTGCAATATGCTGTTGAGAACTATATATAAGTCAGTGTAATTGGCCAAGTCCACGAGGCTCACATTACAACAGATGACCAATGACCGTGGACATTGTGCTGCACCAATATTAGCTCTTTGGGGTGAGCAATGATATGTTTACATGCTTATGTACTATACAAACACTGTATTTGCATATTTGTAATCAACATGTCATCTAAAAAAATGATTACCTGGAATGCTGTACAGGGTTAAACTACCAGAAATGGAAATAACTGTCAGTTATAAATTTTCCCTAGGTGAATTTACCATTTCCTTTTATTTCACTATTTTGGAAGGAAACCTTTTAAGTTCTTCTGGTCAATTTATCATTCCATATTACCTTGACAGCTTTGGGCTAGACCTCCAGACTCACAAAGAAGTCTGCTACAAACCTCCTCTATATATGTTAAGCAAGCAGGTGTCACATGAGACAAAAGAAAATGCAGTCAATTCTCATTTCCCATCATTTTACAATCTTCACTTTTAATTGAATGCAGTATGTGACTCAGGTTCCACCGTGTTCATTGTTATAAAATACGTCTGTAAACATTAAAGTGCACAGGATTGTTTTGCCGTATTCAGAAAGCAGATTTTTTAAAGGTTCATGCTACAAGCATTGCATTCTAGAACATGGATCCCTTCACTTTTTTTATTCAGGTTCGCAAAAGTCTTCATTGCTTCCTCATTGACTGCCGTGTCGGATTTAAAAATACTGCAGTGAACATTTTTATCCCTCTTTAATTTTAAATACAAATGTCGTCATCTGTAATGTAGAAAGATAAAGGTAAGAAATTTTGCTGTGAATTCAGCTCATCCAATCAAATGTACCCTGCTGTAGCCTCATCAGAGAATATATTACATTTTTTACAGTATTTTGTATAAAGGTAACACTTAGCTCAATACCTAATGACCCTGGTGCCCCCCTCCCCTCAGCCATTCTGAAATCCCCACCCCCTTCCTATTCCCCAAAGAATCTGTAAAAGCAGTTTTTTATTAACAGTACTGTTAAAGTAGCTTGCTTTGTAAAAGCCTGCACACAGCCCCTTGCTGGTTTGACACGTAGAAATGTTTTGTTTTCCCTAAAACGCCAGGAACTTTGCGGAATCGACTTCCTGACGGTGGTTCGCTGCCGGTTCCCAGCGCCCTCTTATCCTGAGCCCCTCCAGTCCCAGTTAAAGCAGCGCGTCAGCAAGGAGGGAAGAGGGACGTGGTAGGATCTCCACAATAAAGTGTGGTGATATGATGAGGCCCCCCCGAAAATCTGTCTGTTTCCTTGTTTTTGTTGTTCTCTGGAGGCATGAAGAATGTGTCAGCGCTGGCTCAAAGGGGGGCTGTTTCGGCTCACGCTTATGCCACTGGTGCTTCGGCGCTCACTGGCCTGCCCACTATGTGTCAGGCAGATGGCTCATGGGGGAGTCAGCAGGGTTCAGGAATCTGTATTTCTCCTCCAGAGAGTGTTCGCTCGCCTGGAGGTGGATGAGTGGCTTAGTCTGGAATACATTGAGGCTCTCCTGGTTTTTCTTGTTGTAGATGTTGACTCTGTGCTCCAGCTCGGGGCTGGTTTTGGCTGACCCTGCTGGGCTCGGTAGTTTGAGGTTGACTGGGTCAAGGCCTTTTTGGGTCAGGCAGGAGTCCTCGGACAGCGAGGAGAGGAGCTCCTGCACCACAGTGCTGGCGTCCCGCTGGCCCGTCGGCCCCAGCTGCTCCTGGGGGAGGGAGAGGGGGTGGCGGTGGGCATGGCGCTGGCTTCCTGTCCGCCCCAGGGGGCAGTAGTCAGAAGAGGCCTCCCGGGTGGTGCTGCAGTCCGTGGACGAGCCCAGCGTCTGGCTGCTGGCGCTCTGGTTGCGCGTGGCCGAGCTGTCAGGGGAGCGGGAGGCCGTGGCCGAGGTGTCGCTGACCGAGCTGCCCGCGCGCTCCAGCCGGCTGGGCGCCTCGGCGGTCAGCAGGTCGGAGGAGATGTTGTTGGGGTTGTTGGGGAGGTGGACATCGATGGCCGTGGTGGTGATGACTCGGGTTCCGGCCTCTGGAACTCCGATGTCTAGAACATAGTGACAGCAGGGGGGCAGTGAGCAGACTAGCCTGCTGTCGTGGCAAAAAGGATTTTCAGGACAACAGGGAAGCTGATCATTGGAGCCACTGCAGGAAACTACTGAATGCAAGTCTTATATACAAGTTAAATTACCTTTTGAAGGTTTAATATGGGAATACCCAAGAACATGGTCCTGCAAGCTGGCTTCTTACAGCAGTTCTCCTTTATTCTTTTTCATACCAGTCCTTAATTTGTAGTACACATTCCAGTTTAACCCCCTGACTGCTCTACCTTTCTGAATCCATTTACCTGTCTTCCAAACCGGGACCTCTCTGTGCTACATTTATAAACTCCAACAGAGAACTGCAGTTTACCATGCTCCAGAATTTTGTCATTGTCTTGAATGCTGTTAGTTCAGTACTTCAGTTTATTTACTTAATAAATACACCTGTTCGAAACATGAAAACATGAGACTTTGATATTATTTACTAGATGTTTACTCAACCTTGAATACAACCGAGAGACAAATTGCTGACTTTTCAAAAACAGGTAACTTAAAACCTAGCATTTGTATATTGTAATGAAACTAAATTTTGATGCTGGTCTATCAAGCTCTAACAGGAAAACCACAAAAATAGTATAAAAGAGCAACGCCCATTACTGTATTTACCAAGGAAATTAAATGTAAAATGTTTATAAATGTTACGTTTTCCTCTGCAGTCAATTTGTTTTCCATGGAGAATAGCACTATCAGAGCTAAAAGAAGCAGAAGTGGATTATGACAACCTCATATATTATTGGATATAAGCACTTACCACTGCTTGGCTCACTGTAGTACTGGCTGATATAGTTGTTCATATCATCACGAACAACAGGTTCTGAAAAGAGATGCAGAGGCACATTAGAAGAAACTGCAGAGGTTAGAATTATGACTCTGAAATCATTAAATGCATCACTGCTGCAGACAGCATGTACCATTGAAATGCTACTAAATAAATTACTGTATAGACCTTTTAATCAGATCAGTATTATGAAATATTTAGCAAAGCAATTACATTATCGGTTCTTAAATCAAGACGTCATTTAGTTTTCTTTTTTTAAATAAAAGCTCCAGTTACCAAAAACAAGAAATTTGAATTTATATTGTATTCTCATGTCTTCACATTCTGGAAAACGAAATATTTGTGTCTAACCTGTACTTAGTACAATGAGAAAAATCAACAACTTTAATGGTAACGTGTTCAGTCTGAAAATCTGCCCTGAGGCATTTTCTGCACATTTCCTTAAGCTTCACCCATGCGTGAAGATGTTATCGACAGAAGAAAAACAATCCTTGACTTTGATGCTGGTACCTTGTGTTGTTCTTTGGATAAGACAGGCCTGCAAGCATCATGTCAACAGAACAGGCACTTCATATATGTAAAACCCATAGTTTGATACACCCATAAGTCAAGCACAGAGTAACTTTTTTTAACAAAAATCAATATTATTAAATATTAAACCATATTTAATAATAATATTGACTTCTGTGTTTTGAAGATAAGCAAAGATCACCTGTACTGTTCACTGCTTCATATGCAGTCTCTTAATAGCCTCATAAATGTTTTTGATGTTTTATGAAAAAGGTCAACAGCTGCAAACACTACGTTTTCTGAGTACAAATTATTCCCGTAGGACATACTATTAATGCACAATACATTAGGAGAATGGATAGCAAAACAACATTGACAGTATCATCTGCATGAAGCTTTGTACAAGCTAAACATATTGGGCAAATTTTCTTTATAAACAATCACACAGCCACACATCTCTTTAGCTTCGATATAAATTAATTAAGCATGTAAAAGCTGTACACTAAATGTGTAAAAAAGCTACATGCACAGCTAAACCCAAAACCTACAGTATGTGTAAACACAATGGCTGTGGATCTTTCTCCATGCTCCCACAATCCTATACAGGCAGTGATGTGGGAGCACATAACAAGCTACCCTGCTCTGTTGTTCAAGCTGATACCCTGACATCTCTCAAGAAAGTTACTAAATCCAATTACTAAAAATCAATTACTAAAATCTCAACGAACTAATGGGTCAAATAGTTTCCTCTTGTTTGTAAATATTACTGTACATACTTACGTCAGGGTCCCTACTAACATTTCCTTACTTAAAAAAAAAATCTTTGGTTTCAGCACTTGCTTCCTAAAATAAAATTTCACCTGCTTATTGCCTTTCAAATCTGTGTTTCTCTGTTTCTTCATCTTGGATAGCAGATGTTAATCATTTACAGATCATGTGCAACTATAACCTATCTTGGCAAATTGTAATCTATTATTACAGTTTTAACCCCCTTATCCATCTGCATCTAAATAAGTTAAGTCTAAAATACATCTGCCTTAATACACAAATAATATTTTATTCTGCGTTCCATTTTTGCCTTCTGACACCTCTCAGTGATGGTTACATGGCTCAAGCCCTACATCCACATCTCCAATTTAATCAAATTTTCCCTTTTTTTCTTCTCTTTCTTTTTCTTAAAAAAACCCCCAAAAACTTGCATTCATAATTAAACTTGCCTAATTAACTTATACAAATATTGCAGATGCTCTCCTCTTGTTAAAGAAAGGCTTTATAAAACATTAGAAGAACTGATCGAGATGTCTTTATCTGTTCAGAGACCCATTCTCACAAGCTGACTGGTTCACATTTGATTTCTGTACAAGTAAGGGGTAAAGAAAACACAGATGTGTAGACAGGTTGTGTTGTCATGGGATCAGTGAAAACTGTGATGGGTCATTTATTTTTCTGTTTAAAATATTCATGTTTGCCCCTGGAGAAAAAGCATCGCACTCACTTAATCACATCCAAGACAATCACTACGCAATTAATAACACATGAGTTTTTTTTAAAAAAGTGCAAGGACATTGAACCCATGCCAAGCTGTGTGATTAGAAATAAATACAAAGAGCCAGAGGCATGGACTAAATATTTACTTTAAAATAAGTAATAATACATCAGTGCAATTAGCCCCTGGAACTCAAATGAATGTATGTGCTTAAGTATATAGTGACATACAATATTTGATTCCTTCTTTAGTCATAATGTTTTGAAACAGCAGCTTTTGGAGAAAAAAGCTCATACACTGAAAATCATAAAGATGCTTCAAACAATAAATCAAGTGGCACGAGAGCAGCTTTCGAACTGTTACTAGCCTCATATTCCAAAAGATCGAACTGACACACAGGTTTGCAGATAAATGTGGGTGGGCCCTGCACGCATCAACCATTGTTTTAGAGACATGAAGGATATTTCAAAAGAATACTGAAAAGAAAAGGAGACTGGCTGAACTGCTGTTTAGGAGAAAGAGATTGAGTGATTTATCTCTCCATGATGGTGGTTACGTTGGCTGCACCTTGAACTTTTCAGAATCACAACTACTCTTTAGCAATAGCTGCCCTCGGAAAACAACTGGGAGCAGGAGGCACGTCTGTACACAAAGGGTGAAGGGAGAGTGGAACAAGCTGATACCCAGGCTTCTTTCAAGACACTGCTGGAGGAGCTCCTCCAACCAGAAGAAAAGGCACTGTTTTACAAACGTTGATACCCTGGCATCTTGATGGATGGAGATCAGCTACTAAAAATAAAACCAGCTGAATGCCCCCCCTTTACTTAGAATTGTTCTTACAAGGTTATAGAAATATCCATTTAAGAGTGAATGAAATACTAAACACACAGGCATATCTGACAGCATCTTTCTTATAGGCACATGCTATTTGTCTTTGACAAACCGTAAACAGCAGTAAGTGGAAATGACATAGTTGTAGACCAGAGCAAAAGCGGTTGTTATTGAGATGTCCCGATTTGAGCTTCAACTTGCATTTCTGCGGCATACTTCAGAAACAATTCTAACATTCCAGCCTGTACTGGGTTTTTCGTGCAAATTGCAGTTAAAAATAACCATAAAGAATATAACACAAGGAATCAATAGTCATGTATTCTAACTCCTGGGTATTCACTGACCATGGAGTCAGTTCAAAGTAAGGGGAGAGAAGGGGGGCTTGCTGCCAGCAGAAAACAATGAATGGAGCAGTCTCTGACGGCGTTGAGAAATGAAGGGATTCGGGCTGGGGCGACACTAGGGTGACACTGCAGAGCCGGACCATAAACAAATGGACACATGTACATGTACACAAAAAAAATGTGGAGAGAGAGCCACTTTCAAGTTTCCAATGAACCAGTCTTCTGTTGCTGTTTACACAAGGATGGACAGACATTTTGCATTGGAAAACTATAGTCCCAACCCATTGCCAGGTCATATTTATCATACCACAAACAAGAAGAAAGAGTTTGAAAAACACTCTCCAGCATGCCCTACCCCAACAGGATGGAAAAATCTAACCAGACCACAGACCAAATCCCTGCGCTCCACCAGCCATTCTTGAGTGGCTGTCACATATCGTTCACTTTACAAACTGGCCTCCATTTTAAGTGTTCTTTTTGATTCCATGTTTTTAGAAAAAAAAAGCCACATTTGTCCCAGGGAGCCAGATTTCCCACAATCCTCCCAGGGGTTCTGTGGCTCCAGCGCTGCCTTTTCACAGCGTATTGTGGTTTCCAGGTGAAAGGAACAGATGTTTTCTGCAGACCACTCTGCCCACACTACAAGGCCCAATCCACCAAGCACTCTGTACCTGAAATAGCTGCACTTTGGAGACAGCAATCTAACCTGACATGGTAAAGGCAATATGCTTGTTTCCCTGGTTTCATAGGTTCTTAAAAGCTTTTTTGGCCTCTATTGATCTTTAAATGCCTGTAGTCAGAGGTGTGCTGTGTGCTAATGCCTCAGTTTTAAGAAGAGGCCTCAGAGCTGCTCAGGGCTACTCTTCCAGATTAGGAGTACATCATATCGGCATTTCAACTATCTGATGTTAAAACATTCCACATTTTGGTCATCTATAATTCAGCACATATGTGTCACCTATGTCTCGGAGGCAGGATTTTTTTTTTCCCCGTTTCTTTCGAAAAATAAAAACTGTCTTCATTATTGAAAAAGGAAAAGTTAAGCGCTCAGGTCCTGGTAATCATCTTTTGACAGCACCTTAAAAATCAAGTTCAAAACCAGAGCAAGTTTCCTGTTTAGCACAATTCGATCTTTGGTTCCAGGAAGGAAACCGTGCATGGATTACCATCCCTCTAGGTGTAGTGTTATTAATTATGAGCGGCTTGTTCTCTCTGGCAGGAATGCTCAACACGCCAAAACCAGTGTCAATAAATATTTAACCAAAACACTATTCTATTTACAGCATCGATGACGCAACATGGCTTTTAGGTCATAGATGGAAATTCACTTTGCCATAGATGCTGGAATTTATGGCCATTATAAGTTTCTAATGACGGTGTACAATATTAGCTAATGCTGCAAACATCACACAGAGTAGTGGAGATAATGGGAATATGTCTCAAACGTGTGTTTTAATTCCTGCAAAATGCAGCTGGCATAGCCGGCTTTGGTTGGCCTACATGCACATCCATCTCACGGAGGCAAGGTTTAGAAGACGCACTGCATAGCATTTTCAACACCTTCATCTCCCACGAGTCGCAGGCTCCTGACACAGAGTGAGCGGCTACTGTATCAATGTGTTTGCAGTAAATCTCCACAGGCAGAAATATTTGCTTTCCCGCGAAGCCATTTGCCCAAAAGCCCACAGCTCAAAAACCCCCAACTGTCATGACAGACCTGTTGGCTCTAGAGGAAGGACAGCGGATTATGGCTAATAAAACCTCTGAGGGTAAACTGGGATTCGAACAAAAAAAAAGAGCTGTGCCTTAGTTCTGCCCCCCTACCTGCCGGGGGCCGTGTCTCCCGGCCGCTCTCGTGGCCCTCGTCGTCGGACTCGCCCGCCGCCAGGCCGTCCACCACCTTGAACTTGCTGCTCTGCTTGCTCCACACGTGGTGCATCTGCATGGCCGCCTCCCTCTCGGCTGCCAGGTCCAGGTCCTGCTGCGCCAGGTGTGCCCTCAGCTGCCGGATCTCGAACTGCCAACGCACACACACACACACCGGTCGGTTAACTACCCCGCCTCCCTCAAACGGCAGCCGTGGGGGTGTCTCCGGCCTGGCCGCCTGGCCAGCGCTCGTCACCACTCCAGGCAGCTGGTTAGTCCTGAGGACGCTGACTCGCTGCGCAAGCAATCGGTTGATGACTGGCTTGCTTCTGCCCTTGTTCGTCAAGATTGATTTAGCACAGTAGTCAACGACTCTTGGAACCGTTTTAACAATATTGTCAGCATTCCATAATCATTCCCCTTTCGGGGCAGCAACCACAGCTGTTGGTTTCTTTATATATTGATTTCAGGAGCCTTCACCTCCTTAATGGATGTAATTGTTGGGTGCAGCTAATTGGAAAACTGAAGGTACAGTAGGTGTGTGTGAGTGAGAGTGTGTGAGAGAGAGAGATCCAGGGCCGGGATTTTCTTTAAATCTTCTGGTTTCTCTGTGATGGTGCCCTGGGCTTATAATGAAAGCACTTATCAAAAACGTTGATTTTTGGAGAACATCTCCTCTCGCCAGCTCGTTTAAAGGGGGCACTTGCTCGAAAGGAGACAAGAACATCAAACAGAGCAGCAGCCTGGATGGGTGCTGAAATATTTCCAGTCATGGTATGTATAGGAGATACCTGATTCCCCATCTCTTTCAGATAAATTTTGGATGACTTTTTAACAATTCACAAGCAGTCCTTCTGTAAATATACACTAAATGTGATTTCAATACAAACCACACTAGCTACAGATCAAAAATAAAAACGACTTTTTCACAAGATTTTAAATTTCAGAAAGGCACGTGTTCTTTTTAGAACGTTATCCACTTGTACTCCCTAAACAAAATCACAAGACAGTCAAAGAAGTTCAAGTGTTCGTTTTTTTTTTCTTCGTTTTGTTAGGCACATCTAACAGGCCTGGTAAGATCAATATCAGACAAATAGTAAATTAAAACTAAAACCCACGAGTGACCTATCAGTTTTCTTCTGTTTTGCCAAAGAACGTTTTTTATATTATCTGGTGTAGAAGTCCCTTCAGTCACAGCGATGACAATTACTGAAGCAACCCCTTCTCAAGCCTTACAGAATAATGCTGTGGAATTGTGCTGCCCTCTTCTGGCACAGTGATAGACCACATTTTACATCTAACATCCTTTGCCTCCGATACAAGATCTACTGAGTGTGGCGCAACTGAAGATTGGAAGAACAGAGTATTTTACATATACCACAACCCTGATATGTACAGTTTTTTACCTTGTAAACATGTTGGATTTTAAAAGCCGAATACTAACTTCAAAAAGAAAGTTACAAAGACTTCCTTTTTGTTCCCAATTCATCTGATGAACCTGAGATTTTTTTTTTTGCTTTTCAGAGACGGCACACAGATTTAGGAGGTGCATAGTGATGTCAAAAGTGCAACATCTGTACAATAAGAAATATATATATGGCGCAAAAGCAATGCAGTGTCAGTGCATTAATTCTATAAGTGAAAAGAGTCAAACTGAGACCATTTAGAATTAATATTAATTTATTATTGCTTGCACTTATATAGCACCTTTCTGGACACTCCACTCAAAGCGCTTTACAGGTAATGGGGATCCCCTCCACCACCACCAATGTGCAGCCTCACCTGGATGATGCGACGGCAGCCATAGTGCGCCAGAACGCTCCCCACACACCAGCTCTCAGTGAGGAGGAGAGCAGAGTAATGAAGCTCTGATCAATGAAGCCAGTTCATAGAGGGGGATTATTAAAGCCATGATTGGTAAGGGCCAATGGGAAATTTGGCTAGGATGCCAGGGTTACACCCCTACTCTTTTCAAGAAACACCCTGGGATTTTTAATGACCACAGAGAGTCAGCACTTCAATTTTACATGTCATCCGAAGGACAGTGCCTTTTTACAGTATAGTGACCCCATCACTATACTGGGGCATTAGGACCCACACAGGCTGCAGGGTGAGCACGCCCTGCTGGCCCCACTAACACCTCTTCCAGCAGCAACCTTAGTTTTTCCCAGGAGATCTCCCATCCAGGTACTGACCAGGCTCAAATCTGCTGAGCTTCGGTGGGCTGCCAGTTGTGAGTTGCAGGGTGAGATGGCTACTAGAAACAAGGTGACATTTTGCATGTTTTGGACACTGTCATGCAGAGTGATTTCCAGTGAGCAAAGTCTAAAGCATCCCTATATCTGCACCCTCAAAAACAATTTAACAGGAATTAATATATCACTCAGGATCACTAGGAAATTGTGATCTTTTATTTAAATTAGGCTATTGTTATGCATATTATTTGAGCATAGCTACAGTATGTTCCGTGACATTCATCAGATATAAGAAAGAACCCTTTGCATCTAGCTTTTATTCACTTTGAAACATTCACAGCATATTTTCCAGAGCTGTTGGCGCTCTTCATAATCTACAGCCCTGGCAGAAAACAATCTGTACTTCATATGAAACTATATGAATTCAGGACCCCGATAGAGGAAATGTATTGGTCAGGTCCCAACGCTGAATGGTCTTACAGCTACTGCAGAGCTGCTTGCTGGGATATGTTCCTTTTATATGAATTAAACACCTTGACCTATTTATGTGCCACAGCGTGACAACACAGTCGCATAAGGTAACTGGAGGGAGAGCATATTGTAAAGCCCTGTGCTGTCTGGCAGGTTCTAATGAAGAATGAGATATCGCTGGAAAGGTCTTAGTACCACGTTGTCATTTTTCATTACGTGGTCTCACTGCTGGGACTGAGTTAGTCATTCCTGGGCACAAGGGATTTTACCATATGCCATTCATTTAATACCTGGTGTCGCAATCGGACAGTAGCACAATTGGTTCTATCGCGGCTAAAGTTTGTTGTTTTTCATAAAGATGCAGAAGTAGCCATGTGGTCATCAACTACCGGAGGGGTAACAAAATCCCCAAAATATTAGTGTTAGGCTAAATCTTGTGCACAAAGGAGGTGGTGAAGACAACACGGTTCTATTTATATTAACCAGACAGTGTCATCATTATGTCTATCGTTCAGTTCAGCCCCTTGGCGACTAAGAAGAAAGAGAAAATGGGCAGGAAGAGAGACAGGTCAGTTGTGTGGTCTTAAGGGACACCTGCTCATACAATAAAAGGGCAAAACACGTTCTACTGTAGGTCATTCAAGACCACACTAGGGCTGGCCGCTCTCTAGAGGACATGGGAAGAAAATAAGAACCTCTGAAGTTTTTTCCATCTTCAACTGTTCGTAACAGAAAACAGAGTAAGTAATAGGACTTGGTGTGGAACGCCTTACACGTGTATGGAAATTGTAGTGGACTGCCATGTGCTGGAAAGTAATGCATGTTAGTAACAGGCAAATCTGAGGTGAATAAACATGAAACTGGAAATGTAAGGCATGTCAGTGTTTTAAAGTAAATATAAGGGCAAATTGCTTAGGTACAGTAATTTATTTGCACCTGCAAGAGGTCTTTACTTTCAGTAGCCTTAGCACCAGAGGGAGGTGACCTGACATCAGTGGCTTGCGGATTGTGTCAATGGGATGCTGAGGACACCTAGTGCTCAGAGGCGAAAGCGCGGACCTGCGCTCTCACTCCGTGCTCCCCGAGTTTGTCGTGCTCGGGGACACCCCACCCCACTCACCGCCTGCTCCTGGCAGATCTGTGTGAGGCGCTCCAGCTGCTCTTCTCGCACCAGCTTGGTCTTCTCGTACTGCTGGATCACCATCTCCATCTCCACCTTCACCTGCAGGACATAGGCTGCAAAACACCGCAGCTCCTCAGCGCACACGCACACCGCACAGCCCCTTACTATCCTCCACACAACTACTGTATAGACATTCCTTTCAATTCTGGATTTCCCTGCTGGCATTGTCCCGGGGTGAATTTTCTTTTGCCTTTTGCATCTGATTTCAGGAAAAGAGTTATTTTTTTACTTGTTATTCATGGGCTTTTGAAGTTGGCTTGCTAGGTGTGCAAAATTATTTATTTATGACGGGCATCAAGAACTGAACCTGCACAGTTTTAAAACAGACTTTCAAGTGTACTATATTCTGATCACACAGCTGTTCTCTTACTCCATCTTGATTTTTTGGAAAGACTGGACCAGTGCAGGCACTCCCTCTAGCAATTCCAACAAACTACATAAAGAAGCAGTTATTAACAATGACTAACGTTTGTTTCTGCTGCTAAAATCCCAATGATTTCTCCCAGTCTAGGTGAGAAAAATTTAAATCTCCCACAATAATCACTTCTTTTTTCACACATATTTCCCCCGATTTCATTATTATGTCTGTGTTATAATGCCTGAATGTTACTGACAAATTTTAAGAAGTCCAAGCCATTTAGAGACCTGTGAGAGCACATTCCTGTTGGGACCACATTTCCCAGAAACCTCTTTGAGCAACTAGTTGGGTGACTATGAGCAGTGGGTCATTGCCCCAGAGGTTTCTGGGGAATGTGGTCCCGAAAGGCTGTGCTCTTACAGGTAATGCTACACCTCTGCCTCTTCCAATAATGTTTTCCTTGTATTTCCTCTTTGAATTCTATCTTAAATGTTGCTGAATCAGCTGGAATGTCCTTGTCCCATGCTGGCCGGTTCCCATCTCATTCCGATGTAATCGGTCCCTGCAGAAAGGATTCCAGTGGCATTCATTTTTTATCCCAAGCATCGTTTATATTACAGAGCGACAAAACTGTTAAATATGGTAAGTGTTCTTCTATAGTCCTGGAGGTTCTAAAGGGAATATCCCACTGCACATAAACTCATGTTTTCTGAAGCTCCGCTGAAAAACAAAGAAATGTCTTTAAAGAAACCCAGTACTCCTCAGTCCTAAGTTATAAAGATGACATTTCAATTTAAAGAATTAATTGCCTGTATTGAAAAGACTGGGCACTAACATTATCTGGTAATTTCTGAAACCAACTTTAAATGTCCAATAAGCTGAAATATGTTTGATTCAAATACAGTAGGGTGAAAATATTGATCTGATCTGTTTGTTACCAGTCACAACTGTTTAAAGTTGCATACATCTACATACTGTATGTATATGTAGAACTCTTAATTCTTTTAAAGAAAATACAGTACATAACCTGGCCAAATGCACTCACATTTGGTTAACTGTAAATCAGGCATATTGAGATTGTTACCTTCTCCACCATATTCCATCCCCTCCAAAGTACTGCTGCAGTGACTTTCTGAGTTGAAGAGTTCAAGCTGTTCCAGTGCTGAGATGCATCAACAAGTCCACTATCTTTCCCCCTCAGTCCCCTTGTCACTCACGACTTCTCAATTAGAGCACTCTGGGAGGATCTCCTCGGGCTGCTTTCTCATGCTGTCTATTGTATTCACTAAGGACTTACACAGACTGTAAATACCAGCAAACACACTGTTCCATGAGCAGAGGTAACCCAAGATTCAGGTAATGACACTTCTAGCCTCAAGACAAATTCTTCCCAGGTAGCTGACCAGAGCCTGTAGAGTCTGTGGGCATCGTTCCTGGCCAGGTGGCAGATGGCACTGTGCTAATTTTAGAAACTGCTCCTTATCTTTTAGCAGTATTAAAATATAACACTGTCCTGAGGATAAAACGCCATAGTTTAGCAATTGTGTATTTGTTCCTTTTCAACTAATTTTAATATAATGATTAAATCTTTACTAAAATTGCCTAACAATCATGATATGTCAAAACTGGTCAGCCTCTTTGGTTAAGATCAAAGTTTCATTTAAAAATAACAACAACAACACAACTGTGGGCAGCCCGGAGTTAATTATATCATGCCACATCTATAAATAAACACCACCAACATCAAAGGTTAAGAGCATTGGTGACCTTAAGGATCCTCATCTCTGAGATCCAATACTTTATACAATTTTTTATTTATAAATCTTCGTTATCTGAATATGTTATATATGCTGACAACAATGTAGGTGGTTGAATCATTTTAAGAAGATAAAACCTGTATACTGGATATTTTGAGTTTTAGTTTACACAAAATGATCTACCTAGGCATTTGACTTTTTCTAGATTGTAATTATAGACGTGTGTCAGTTCTGTCAAATTCCACCCCTCTTACATGATGCATTAGGCCTCGTAAGACAGAGGTAGCAGAATAAGAAACGGCACCAGCAGGCAATATCATGGGTGTCACTATGGTGTTTAGTGCAGATCCTTTAACTGCTTGATGCTTATGAATGTTTCATGCTGTTTCTAATGGTTTCTTTTTAAAAAAAACAACAACAAGATGCATATTTTCTAATTCTGCTGCAGATTACCAGACACTATAGGTAAGTGTTTTTGTACAGCACTTATCACAAAATTTTAGGAACAATGGTTAATCTACAGCTACAAATGTGAGACAGTCTGGAGACTGACATGTGAATAGATGCTGGCAACGTCTATTTCTAGAGCCTGTCAGATATTTAGGCAGCCAGTGTGTGTGAGAGCAGCGGCACACTCACACCACAAGGGGGCACAGTGGAGGGTAATTTTAAACAATCTGCACATAGTAATTACAAGAATGGCAACTGCATTTGTCAATGTCAACTTAAGTAGCTGTGGGACGCATTTTTATCCACACTTCAACAGTGCTGACAGCTGCTGGCATGGCACAGCTAGACTTGTAATTCACACCATGGCTGATTTCAGAGCCTTTCATCTAGATGAGTAACAACACTTCATTTTCCCATGACAGCTGAGGCTAGGACTAAATCTATAGGGTTCGGTGCAGTGAATCAGGCACAGACCCTTCCTTGCTGCTGGAGACTGGTTTCCCCCCCATCGCTCTATGCTGTAGAGCACAGGCAAGGCAAGGCAATGCCCAACCTCCTCCCCAGTTCTGATTGAGCCTGCTTAGTGAGCACTTTGATATATGTTGCACAGAGCAGAGAAGGAAGGAAGAGCTGAAAGAACAGACTGGAACAAAATAATTCAGGAATAACAGAGATTAAGTCCAGAGGCTTCCTTAATTTTATGATTTTTGTAGCAAAGAAAAAGGCTAAATTTAAATCCATATGCTTATAACGCTTGGTGTAAAAATGTTCTTCATTCTGTATTTATGCAAACTGTGCATTAATACAGAATAATATTTTTGCAAATATTAAACTGTTTAATATTTCCCTTCATAGGAGTTTACATGCCAGAAAACACTCATTACAAAGTGCATAACCTCAGAGTAAACGTTTCAGAGAACTATAGGTTGTCTTTGAAAATACACAATTAGTGGCTCTCTGGGGTGGTGTGGTGGCTCTGTGGCTAAGGATCTCTACCTGTGGCTGAAAGGTTGCCGGTTTGTATCCTGTGGCTATATAATAGTCTATATCTGTAAGATTAAGATGAATACAGAGAAACATTGTGGAACACTGCGGTGAGACATGAACTAGAACTGCACCACATTACACATGCTCAAGTGGCAGGCAGACTAGAGTTTGTGTCCACTGAACAGAAGGGCAGTCTCTGGGGTGGAATTATGCTGTTTGATATCAAGAGGCACCAGGTGCTGAGGAAAGATTCTTTCTCTTTCACACTGGCTGTTGTGTTTGGAAAAATAAAAATCCAATTTTGACGTATGTTCATCTGCCTATTCCACAAACCCTTCAGATTTGATTATAGTCAGATGACAACCTTCTCTTCCTTTCATTTTTTCTTCTGTCTCCAAAGTACTGAACATCCAGTACTTAACCCTTTCATATTCAAAAGAGCTTTATACTGCACATGAATTCAAATGTAAATAGTCACTGATCCCGATCCACTTTCTCAAAGCAATACGTACATGCACTACAAAGTATTTTATTACTTTGTGTTTTTCATTTGAGCTGAATACTTTTCAATATTCAAAAGCACAGCATAAAACAAAAACATAGACTTTTTGTTACTGATTTTTGGAAAGATAATTGTGATGATCACAATAGTGATGCTTATGGTGATGGTGAAACTGACAATGGTGCCAGAAAAGGTGAGTGCTGATGATGGTGGTATTGGCAGTGGTGATAGTGATGGCAGTGATAATGGTGATAGTGATGGCTGAGGCAATAAGAATAGCAGTAATAACAGTGAATGTGTAATTAAAATCGTTCCACTGATTGTATCATCTTAGTTTGTTCTGTTTACAACCAGCAAACTCCACTGTTTAATTATTACCAATTAGCGACACTTAATTAAACATGAACATGCAAAAAAAAAATGCCAGTTGTGATATAGAAAAAAATTGGAGTTATTTGTTTTCAGAAGTAATAATTCAGAGGTCTGGCTGTTTAATTTATTTGTCTTTTTTATGAGTACACCAAAGGAAAACTGTCAAAATGTGTTTAGTTACCAGGAAAACATATGTCTTTTGCAAATAGACGAAGGTGGGGATTTTCTGTAACACCCTGTGTTCTTAGACAGCATTGAGAGGAATTGTTCCAGCCCCTGGATTTTGCAGTTCTTGTAAGTACAGTACTTGGAAATCAACTTGGAGGCCGATGGTTTCCTTTAACAAAGGGCTGAATGGGATCATTAACTACTATCATCTCTAGTGGCCTAGATGGGACAAATGGCCTCTTGTTTGTAACTACTCGTATGATCATTCATTGGAACGCCTGAAGCCAAAATGTACTTAACTTTATCAAGACACAGGTTTTCATATGTTCTGAGCTCAAGGAACCCAGTAGAGATTGAAATCTGTAACCACTATAAATTCGTTTTAGAGCATTTATTTATTATTTGGATTGCTTACAACCAGAGCTGTGTGAACAAATCCACACTTAAATATTGTCCGAACAGACCCACTGCTGAGAGTGCAGATTTTCCATAGCACTTGAATTGGGGTGAAAAATGTCACTTTTGTTTTCTTAGGAACCCCTTGGATCATATATATCAGGATCAAAGGCCTCATAGAACCCTGGTTGAAAATCTCTTGTCTAAGTAATCAATTGTTATGAAAACGACTGATTCATAATCAATCACAATCTTAAATGTTTAGATTTCTGCTATTTATAGATTGTTTTATAAATTCAGGAGAAAATGTGATTTAATTTTTAGAAAGGCTTGAGAGAAATAAGCAACGTTGTAAAATGGAAGACTAAAGGTTCAATTTCTGGTCACTGTGCATGAACACGATCATGGGAATTCATTCAGAGAAAGCCCAGTGGGGTGGTAATTTACAGGCAATACTATGTGTGGTGACCGAAACCTGGTAATCAATGATGCATATATTTAGCATAACTAAGAACGCTGAGTTTATTAATTATGGACATTAGCCATTACTCACAGGTTTAGAAAGCAATAAAAATCAATAGGTGTTTTGGATGGCTAAGCTCTGCTGCAGCTTACTGGCAATTTACCATGGAGATACATCGATAAAGAAGCCCTAATGAGTAATAAATAAATCATACAATAAGGGAAAAATTACTATGTTGCCATCACAAAATTGATTTGTCAATACACTAGGGCTGACTACATAACGTTATTATTCAGTGCATTTCAACACCCTATATGTGTAGGTTTCATGAAGGTTAAACACAGACGTAATACAGAGGTGTGTATGAAAATGCTAAGAACGTATAATGTCTTCAACATCTGGCAAATTGTCTTTGAAATCTGCCAGTTTGTTACCATCTTTTATGTCAATTTAAAACTGCTGTTAAATATTGTGAAACTGTTGGAAATACATTAAGTATACAATGACATGGAGGTAATAATAATAGATGGGGGTACTGAATATAGTAGGAGCAGAGGGGTAAAGAACAGAACCAGTTAAGTAAAGGCTCTCTTAAAGAAGAAGGTGTTGAGTCTAGATTTGAAGGACTTTAGAGAAGGTGACTCTCTGATATCCTTGGGGAGAGAGTTCCTGAGCTTTGGGGCATTACAGGAGAAGGCCCTGTCACCCATAGAGTGTAGACAGGCTTGGTGGACAGATAGGAGACCAGAATTAGAAGAGTGAAGGTTGTGAGGTGGGGAGTAGGATGATAGTAGCTTAGACAGGTACCGAGGTGCCAAGCCATGCAGTGCAGTGCCATGCAGGAGGATTTTGAAGTCGACACGAAACTTGACAGGAAGCCAATGCAAGGACACCAGGATAGGAGTAATGCGATCACTTCCACTAGATCTGGTCAGGATTCTGGCTGCAAAATTTAATATTGGTGAATTTACAAATTTAATATGGTAATATCAGTGTTCATTGTGCAATAAGATACACAGTACTTAAAAATTACATATATATTTCAGTACTTAAAAATGGCATATATATTTAAGAAAGATATATTATTGTTGGTTTTACTGTAATCTTTACACATTGTGTTCATTTCAGGGTTAAATAAAGACAAAACCCTGAAATCAAAGGGCAGAAAACTGAATGGCAATACATGTTGGCAAAGCTTATTGATTATTATTATTAACTTATTAAGTGCAAAGCAATGACTCTTTCCTGTGTTCTATGGATTGTGAATTTCTACACAAACAGTATGCAGTGGTTCACCAACAGCCTGGTTAAAATCCCCAAATGGTTCTCTTCTATTTGATGAAGACTGGGCTCGGCAACTTTCTCAAGCTAAACTTTTTGTCCCAACCCCTACAAAATCTGCCCTGAGCAGACACACTGAGCAGAGAACCCACAGATCAGGCACAGTATTCAGAGGCAGTTATACCACCTACCAGTATCTACCATTACCACCATTAATAAACTCTAGTTCGTAATGTCCCCGGGGACAAACACTGTATTCTTGGAGAGCGGAGAGTGCTTTTCACGCAGGACACACACTCCGGTACTCAAACGTCATACACTCACCATCAATGATTCTCTTTACCCTCCAGATGCGCAGTGTGATGATGAGACTGATGGCGTCCCAGGGGCTGCTGGGTCCATTGGCTACTGTGGAGGCCACCATGGGGGCCAGAGAGAGGACAATTACAGCACCGTCAAACACCTGTGGACAAAAGACAAAGCAGCGCCTCTTTTCACTAGCCCTGCTTTCAGATTGGCCCAGCCCCAGCCCCAGCCTCTGTTACATCAGCTCACTTGAGTACAGTGGACATCACACAGATATTTTAAAGCTCTTTTACAAATCACTGTTACAGTTTTATTGTATTCTCAATAACTTTACAGCTAGGGTTTCTCAGGCCTCAAAAGCGGTCACCCCTCCCTATCATTAGGAACAACATGAGCCCACAGAGTTTCATGTAGCCCTCTTTATTTCTGTCCTGCAATGCAGAGTTTGTCCATGGTCTGTTAGGGTCCGATGCTCCAGATGTATTTACAATGTTTGATACTGCTTCGTTAGATGACACTACACACTTACTGGCGTACAGCACGTGCACAGCGAGAAGACTTTTGTCAATCTACTGCCCCAAGCAAAATGTGTCAGCGGCTTATATGACTATATAAAAAGGAGTAAAGTATAACAGGTTAGGAGAATTTGCACTGAAAGTGTGACTTAAGGAGCAATTCCGTGTCCAACTACGATCCCTATTTCATGTCACTAACATCCCGCAAGCGTGATCATTCAATCATTTTTAAATCTTGGATCCCCTCTGAAACAAACAGCTCAGAGGTGCGATGCCACACAAAGAAGGTGGTCCCTACATTATTAACCAGAAATCCTGAAGACTGTTAGAGTGTTCAAAGCGCCTCACAGCCTAGAGTAACGATCCTTCCAACTGCCTCGTTTCAGAGCCAAAACCCACGAATGTGACTAAGAGAGATGACCGAGGTGTCACTGGAAGGGAAAAAATAGGGGGGGGGAATGTTACTCACAAGCAACAAGCAGGCACCTCGGCCCCGTCGGATTCTGCTCCAGAGCCACAAAGTTAATTTCAAGCTCTGGTTCCCACACTGGAGCCGAGACGTGAAGAGCAAACGCACGGAAACCTGTGCCGCTGTGAAACTCAATGGTCTCGCCAGAGGAGTCCCAGGTGGCTTTGCGCCCTCCAGCCCTCTACCCTCACTGTGTCGCGGTTCTGGACGACACGCCGGAGCTACTTACCTCCACTTTGTTCTCTATGTAATCCCAGATACCCAGCACAACGATTCTAAACACAGTCTGAGGAGACAAAGAGAGAAGATATCCTTGAAGAGCCTGCTAAAAAATAAATTTAGGCCCTATTTCGTACACACATTTTACTTATTTTTTAAAAAAATCCTTATTTGAAAGTAGACCAAATCCACATATTTCGCTCGTAGCCCATCTGTCTGCATGTCCGTTTCCGTCACGAGCAATACAATTGATTTTTAGGTCGGTTCCAACATTAAAAATAAACAAAGAATGTTGACAGATTTGTCATGCTACGCAATCGCAAGTGTTCGATATTTTGTTTCCAAGTGGTTTAGACTGGTGTTTGTGATAGGAATAGAGTTTACAGGGTTCCCATAGTACTGCAAGGGTTTCACAGCCACTTATACATAGCCGTAACAAGAAATCTCCTGGATTCTTCACCTGATTTCAAATCAAACCTTTAGCTTTCGATAGCCTCTAAACACTTTTTATGCACATGAACCACAAACAGCTCTTTAGTGGATATGGTATCTGGAACAGGGGTAATTGACAATGATGAAGCAAAACTAAATCTGAGCTTCATACATTATAAGAAATAATCCATACAGTATGCAGTCATTTGCATTTCTATGTTTACAGCATTCAATTGCTGTGATAGTTGTAATTTATCAACTGCCCTGCCTCCAACACACACCACTTTACTATTTTTTCCCTTGATGCATCAAATAAATTAAATACAAATCTATAAATTCCACAGCAGTGGCTGAGTGTCCAAACAATTGCACTGATAAGAGAATCTGCTGAAGCTGCTGAATTAAACCCTGACTTATGGTTTGGTCACACAGTTCCATTTCTCTCTCTCTCTTTGTTCTTGAAATGATTTTTTTTCTCTAGTAATTCATTTTTGTTCTATTACCACTTTATGAACAAGCTGCCCGAGCTCAGCTACCGTTGGCGTGCAGGATCTTGTTTTTATTGATCCACACACAGTTGTGGTGGGGAGGGGACATTTGCCCATAATGAGAAAATGTAATGCTTGCGGCAAATCATTCAAATTTAAATTAAATATCAATAAAGATACTAGTAAAATGAACAGTCAACAAAAAGCACCAAGGGATGTTTCTTTCTTAAAAAAGGCATAGACTGAAATGAATCTGCTATCCACTCACCAGCTGCTATTTCCTAAACCAGCAATTGATGGAGCCTTTCCATAGGGAAAATGGAAAAGCCCTCAATCAATAAAAAATCACCATCAAGTGACACATTTGAAATGTGCTATTGGCAGGTGTGTGGAAGTTTTAATTTCAGTTGGCTCAAAAACCAATTACACATCTTTGTCTTCTGGAGAGCTTGCTCTTTGAAGGTTGTACAAGGTTTTGTCCGATACTGTAGTTCTTTAAAAACCATTGTAGGGGCCTGCTGTGTATTTAGTCACTGCTCAAGAGCATCATTGAGATTTCCTTTCATTTGAGTTCACCAGGAGAAGAAGGACTCATTATGCAGTCCTTCTTGCTGATCTCCTAATTATTTGCCTGCATAAAAACGTGACAGGAAATATGTAAATACAGCTTTGATAAACATAGTTTCAATATATCCTGCTCTGGACAGAAATATACTTGGATTGACCAGTTAGTTTCTTTTTCTGATCTGTATTTAAACTTTTTATGTAAATATTCTAAGAATAATATTTAAATACTCTTCTATCTTTCAACAAACAACTCATTCGCAGATTTTTCCCTAGAATTCACATCCTAGATTTCTGTCTTCTTAGACCCTTGCTCTTACACTCCTCCAGCCCACATTCACACTGTCTTTTTTTCTTCCTCTTATCCTATATATACCCATATTCCTTTTCTCTCACACAACTGAAGAGGCTCCACATCTGAACCATTGCATAATTTTCTTTATTTTTACAACTTCAGCGTGGAATTTTCCTCTTCTGTTTGTGCTAGAAAAGGTTTTAATTTCCTTGTCCCATGTGGGATGCACAATATCAGTGAGCCAATCAATCAATCAATCACATGGTTTATCTTCATCTGCCTTAACTTATAAACCTTATGAAGACATCACTTGTCCCTGTGAGTGTTTTCACCAAAGCAGAAGAGTGGCATTAGGTTTTATTGCTGTCTATTGTCGGTTTCTTTCAAATTTGTAAGATTTCAGGGCTACAAAATATAGGAGAGATGGTCATAACATTTTTCCTTGTAACTGCCTTGCTTTATTAAGAAAGGGAAAAATAGAATCAGTTCAATTATTTCCCACAGCCTTGCATTGTATGCAAAAAGTGAAACAAATCTGTTCTTACACGGGTTTCCAAATACAAAGACAGTTGACTACTGTGTACAAGAATTTTACCCAGGATGAAGTAGGATCTCAGATAGAATAAATGTTCTGTGAATATTACCTGATTCGAGTATTCAAAATCTTCAAAAGCATTAATAAATGCAACTAAGAAGATTTCTTTAGAATCAACAGTGAAACGCGCAACAGAGGACAGTAATGGAAACTTATGGGAAATGTATTTCAACTGGAAAAAGTGTGGGAGTTTGGAACCAGTTACCCGCCAACATTTCTAAAGCTGATATCAAATTAAAAAAAAGCTTTCTTCAAATAAACCAATAGAGGAGGTCTTCAGACCAAGAAGCTAGCAACCAAGTGCTACACAGAACGAACGGCCTCTTCTCTTTTGTAACCTTTCTTATATGTTTCTTTTCAGAGTACGCATGGTTTGGGAACATAAAACATTTTTTGGAGTCATGAATGCAGAGCTCTGCAGAGTAAACCTAAGCACTCGTACTCCAAAGCACGCCTGCCGTTGTGTATTGTATATATTCAGAATGGGATTCCATGTCTCTGCACACTAATACCTTTTCCAGTCTGGGAAACAAAGTGAAAATCTTTTGACTGCCAACACTACGCTCACACCCTGCTTGTGAATACTAAATTTAAGCGGCTCAGCAGGGAGTTATTAGCTTTTCGTATACTGTAGTCTATTCTTGGAGTTCCCCTTTGATTTAGTCTCTGGCAAAAAGCTAAGAAAACAATCAGAAGCCCTGTGTAGAAAAGACTGAATGCGGCAGTTTTTCCCAGCAGGGGGGAAAGAGGGAGGAGAGGGCTTCAGTGAGCCGTATTTCCAGGCACCTGCACTGTGCGCAGTGCTAAGATGAGCTCCATTACAGGAGGGACTTACAGCAGAGTTAAGACAAGAATGGAGGCAAAGCAAAGTAATTTACCAGCCTCTGAGGCAGTGTAATGTAGTTGTCATATATTATGTGGCTGGGGGTCTGCACATAATCACAGTGCATTAATCTAGCTAAGTGATGGCTGAATCAGGAGGCTCACTTGACATTCTATCCAGCAGCGTAAAAACAGGAAACAGCTAACTAGCTATGACCAGACGAGCGAGTCTTACACATTTGTTAATTCATATAAAAACACAGCCAGTGACAGCCAAAGACGGGGCTTTTTCAATCTACCTCTTGCATTCAATTATGCTGTGCTTTTTGCATGTGCCCCTTCCTCCCCAGCCTGTATCTGCTTTCCTCGTTCCATCCAACAAGAGAAAAGGCAACACAGTGCCTCCATGTCCAGAGGTCGCTGCTGGTTCCCCAAAGCATGGAGCCAGCGGATACAATGCAGAAGATTTAATACTTATGAAGCAATTATCTACACAGGTTTTCATGACTGAAGCCTCAATCAGAATCAAATGATTTACCAAATTATGAACATAACTTCCGTCTCCCTAAACAGAGGAACTAAAGCAATGTGCTTACTTACATTGAAGGTGGTAGAGAGTGGATCTTGCAAAGGAGACACACTAGAGGCCTCGGAGCGGGTCGGCTGCGCAGCAGGAGCATTCCTTCTTGCTTCTAGCTCAAGCTGATGGAGCTTAACCTCTTTCTCCGCCTCGATCTCCATCTTACGAATTGCAAGGTGCAATTCAAATTCTGCCTGGCGTACTTGGGCTTTTTCCTGCGCCTCCATGTGCAAGCGGGCCAAATTAACTTTTAGACGAGTCTCGCTTTTTGACTCAGTGGCCTTGACCTCAGCCTCCGATAGGTCTTCAGCCACCCCCTGCACCTGGTCCTGTTCTTCCACAACCATAGCAGGTTTAGCACCAGCCCCAGGAGAACCAGTGTCCTTGCTCGCTAGTGCAAAGATCTCTAACTCCACCAACCTATCCATCACAGCTCTCTTGATGTCCCTTTTAAGAGCTTGCTCCGATACTTGAATCCGGAAGCGATCAGCAATTTGGAACAATTCGTCCTTCCTACACTTGTCCAGCTGCTCAAAGGAAGGTTCCTCCACAAACTTTCGCAAATCAAAAGTAGCCGTAAGTTCAGTACCTTGTCAAAAACACGATCCACAAATCGAAAATCCTAAACCAGTCCTTATTCAATAAACAAATACCAAATGACACAAATGACAGTCCCAAAATGCACAAAAGTACCAACACCAAAATTCTGCAACACAAAAAAAAATCCTTAGGACGGGAATTCGATATCCCGGACGAGCCCCCAATAATGTTATGACCCCAAGTGTCTAGGGGTAAAGGGGTGTAACATTTAGGATAATTCTCTTGGAAGCAGGTGGGTTCTCTTGAGGGACTAGGAAGCGTGATAACAAGGGTAAGGAACAAGAGTTTTTTTTTGTATAGCTTCGGCTTTGTTGTTTTGTTGGTTTCTGTTAGTTTCTTTGTACTTTTGTTTGTTTGCGTGTTCATCCTTGTTTTGCCATTAGCTTGCCCTAACATTTTATATGCTCAACTTTTGGGTTCTTTGTACCTTGTTCCTGTTGATTACTATTGTTTTCCCTTATTTGTATTCCTAGTTCACTTGTGTTTTTGTGTGAACTTGTGTATAAGGTTAGTTTAGGTTGTTGGGTACATTCTCCACACTTAGTTGATTTTGTGTTAGTAACACTAGTTTAGTATGGGTGAGTGCTGTTTGTCTTGTATGGTTTTGGGTAGTCAGTGGAGGTTAGCTAGGGTGAAGACGCCGAAGACCGTGTGTTTCGGGTTTTCTTTTGCAGTCAGGTTAGCTTTCCCTCACTTTCCTAGCCAGCTCCATTTCGTTTGTTATTTTCCTTTCTTTGGCACCACTCTAGTTCCTCACCACTTTACCCCTAGACACTTGGGGTCGTAACACATAACGATGCTGTAACCCGTCCACGTTGAGAAATGAGAACCATTTTTCCCCCAACCACACATTTCCGAATATCACTCCTTCTCAGAGGACCAAAGTAATACAAAAGGAAAGTATTAACTGAGACCAGTGTTTGTGAGCATGCTTACCTCAGTGAAGAACACAGACAGGATAACAAGGCTGATCCAGTGAATGATGCTGGCAAACTGGAATGCATTTGTAACTGAAAAAAAAAAGACAAAGCAGGAAAAAAGTTGCAGAACCTGTCAAAATGAGAAGGGGAATGCCTGCCCATAACTCCCCATCTAGACAGTCTTTGCTTAGTTTGATATAATTGTAAACCTCATTTTCAAATGTCCGACTCATTTTGTTTTGGTGCAGAGCACTGTGGAATTTGGGATTTTAGGATAAAATAGGATAACAGCTCTTCCGATGGATATGTTTTCTCACAGAAAGTCCTGCGCGTGTTGCAGGCGGGCACCTTGGCCTACCTCAGTTCTCAAAGCCTCCTGCCTCCTTCTCTAGAGCTCATCGGGATATCCTCATATTTCTTTGTTTCCATTCATCTCTTCCTCCACGCATTTTAATCGTACGGCCGCTCGTGCCCCATCTGTCTTTGTTCTTCCATTCATGGATCAGTCCTTCAGCTCATTTATCTCCCCCATCCTTCCCTCCATTAATCGACATGCCAGGCCGTTGTCTCTCTATTTATTCATCCACTAATCTTGCCTTGTTGCATTTGTCTTCCTTTCCCTCCCTCCTGTTCTCCAATCTATCTTGCGAGCCCCACAAAAGGCCACCAGAATAAATTGTAATACACAGGGCCTTGTGATCCATGAAGCAAGTCCCTGATATCACTGAAAGGAGGGACTCTGGGATTCCTCACATAATCAGCAAGGAGTTTGGCCCGCAGGAGACCAGTCAGTTCATTTTCAGTTCACACAGTTAAAATCTAATTTGGGCCACAGAAGAAATACCACTGACGACGGCGAATCTTAATGTAGGGGACGCTCCAGAGCTTTCAGACTACTGCACCCAAGTTCCTGTTCTTTAGCTGCACACCAAGTGGTTTTCTATGGCCAGTCTAATTTTGCTCCCTCTTTTTTTGTGCACTTCAAACATAAAATTCCCTGCGAGGAATGGTGCTAGCCATTCTTGTAGATTTATAACTATTTAATATGCCCAAAATCCATAAAATGAATATGTTTTTAATCAGGTGAGGCCACAGAACAGTATCTGACATCCTGTCACAGAGAACATCCCTGCCAAGTGGTGAGAAGAGCCTCTAATTAACTTCACTGTCAGCACGCAGAGCCAGTTTTGCCACACTCTAAAAATGTTTTTCGGTTCACAAACTGCTATCTGCCACCTTGCTATCAAATGAGGAGGCTGAAGAAAGGCTTTATTAAATGTGCTTGATCAAGAAGTACTGTGTTCTTTTCTTTGGTCTCAAGTTTGAGGCAGAATTTATTTTAAAACTCAGAGGAGACCTGAGTTTCCCCAGGTAAATCTGTAGACTAATATTTCACCCATTATAAGGATATATTTAATCCAGACCCTACGGTACAACACCATTTTCTAGCACAGAACAAGAATCAGTTGTTGAATAATTGTATTTTTCCATATTTTGCATCACAGATTTAATGTAATATGTTTATAAGGAAAAAACATTTGGTGAAATGCTGCTGGGCAGAACCCTTCAGGGTTTTGGGGCCTGTTCAAAGTCTCTGAGTAAAAGACAAAGGATGACCAGGAGTGAAACTTTGGTGAGAGTCAGTACAGAGTACAAGGGAAAAAACCTTGGTAGTATAATAAGTTGAAATGCTCTCAATTATTATATATTAATATAATAAAAAAATATAATGAATAATTAAGCAGGGGAAACTATTTCAAAACTGAAAGAAAATAATTTCTCAAGGAAACCAAGTAACAGTATAAAAAACTCTCTATAAAAGCTCTTAGTACTGTGTATTGGAAAATTTGATGTAACAGTACCACATTATCCTATTCAAATACCATATAAAAATGTGTTCTGATAATATGCTCTTAAAAATAATCCTGCTGCTGTTCATGCAAACCCGGTACCTCTCTGTGTGAAAAAGATGGCTTCTGTAGCCACACTTCAAACCCACACCCTGGGATCACATCAGTAGGTGGTACTCACACTGCAGCAGCTTGGTGTCTATGAGAAGCTCCAGGGCCAGCAGAACCACCACCAGCACGACGCAGGCCACCAGGAAGCAGTTGAGGCCTGCGCTGAGCAGAAACACCTGCCAAAGAGCCGCCCTCTGCCCGCAGCAGGGCTTCAGCCAGTTAGAGCTGGAGACAAAGGGAGGAATAAGAACATAAGAGGCGATGCAAATGACAAGAAGTCATTGAGCCAGTCTTCATCCAAGGATGCCATCCAGCTGTTTCTTTAAAGACGCAAGATTATTGGCTTTGGGTAGCTTGTTCGTACTCCCTCAATCCTTTGCATACAGAAAGGCCACCATCTTCTTAGTTTTACATGAACACTGCTATTGCTCCCACTTGTACTGTATCTCCCTGTTGGTGCTTCACTGTTGATTCTGAAGAATCCACTAGGTTGACTTAAGAGGTGGAAAGGAAAGGAGCAGGAAAGAAGGAAGAGAAAAAAGACTTAAAAGCCAGCAGAAACTAGATTAGAAAAGAAGGTGCGGAAATCATTTTACCTCTGGTGATTGGACACATAAAACGGCAAAGACAGTATCCTGCTTTCAATCATTGCTACAGATCTGAATATTAGCTGATGGGTTTCAAAATCAACATGCTGCACCTTGAAGACTGGCTAAAGTACTTTTTGAAAAATGCAACGGACAAATTTAAAAAATAAAATCATTAAAAATATCACATAAAAGTCCAGACCACAAGTCAGACCTTAAATAAGAAGAATGTACAACTGACCTACTCTGCTGCTTCAATGAGACTGGACTGCATCTGCTTATTCTTGCCTGGGGAAGCTCACATAGTCCCAGGAGAGCTTTGTGTTGGGAATGGGAGCAAAATGGGAGCGTTCATCAAATTATGGTGCTCTAAATGGGATTGAGATGAAGTGATATAAGGTTATATGGAGGATAAAATTGACCTCTTATGATCATTTTCCCTGATACAGGGGTCTCCTACCCTCGTCCTGGAAAGCCCCCGTTCAGCAGGTTTTGCAGCTCACCAGTTTCTAAAGGCATACAATTCCACTGTGATCAGATAAACACGTGACGTATTAAAGGAAGTAATTTAGAGATCGATTAGTACTAACATCCAAGTACTGTTCACCAGTGAGAGACCAGATTTGTCTTAAATAACTAGATCATTTGCTTAATTTGTCTGGAGTTTACAGGTGTTGCAATCTTTAACAGGTGACCTCCAAGATACTGTAGTTGTAGTTATCTGCAACTGGAAGGATGTAAGTTAATACTTGGAGAGACACTGCTGTTGTACCATTGAGTAAGATACTTCACCTGAATTTCTTTGGAAAAATATCCAACTTGTGAAATTGTTGAAATGTAAGCCAGTTTGGTTAAAAATATTAGAAAAGTCAGAACTAGAGGTATATGCTGGAATTTAATCAATGGAGAAGCAAAGACAGTACAGCGTTTCTACAATTTCCATTGTAACTCTAAAAAGATACACTTTTCCCACGATTAGCAGTCATTTGAAGATACAAAACACTTTTCTCTGGATTATTCTTTACTGTTGCTCCTACATGGTCCTACATGATACAACAGCACTTTATGGCTTGGAGAAGCACATTTTGTAATAGTCTCTACATATTTATTAGATATAATTCAGTTCTGAAAAGTTTTCAATGAAAGTTTGCTTTAAAATAAAATATCACAAATGCACACAAAATGTTATTCCTGGAGTTGTATTGCAAGACAATATTTTTCGACTATGTTCTGGACTGTACTTTGACTCCCATGGTCTGTCGGCACTCAGGATATGATATCCTGTTGCATTAAAAATCAGTCCATGCTCTACTCTCTTGCCATACAATGTGAATATACTGTATAAATATTTATTTTAATGAGCGGTTTGTAAGGCTTGATGACCTTTCCATAACAACAGCAGAGGGAGCTGTGCTACACACGAGCAGTTAAACACAAGTCTAGTGAAACTGCATTGTGGAGCGAAGCAGCACCAGACACAGCGTACAGCACTCCTGACAAACAATGAGACGATTCAGGCTTGCTGAAGGTCAGTCTCGGGAAACTCTGAAAGGAGTCGTGAAAAGATCCGATTTAAAATATTTACACTTCAACACTACGCAGTGAGGGGATAACAATTCTCTCAATGTTTGTTTTTTTATTTACAATGATAAAGCAAAGCAAATATTCAGTTTAAGGCCTGAAGCATATTTTAGGTGTTATTCGATTTTCTCTCAGACACCGATAATATTGCCTTTGGTATCTAAGGGGCAGGGTTTTATTAATTCATTTAAGGATCATTTACCTCCTTGTCATTACTTCAAAACATTCATTAGTACACCTTTAAGTTTGTTCATATACATGTCTTTCTTTAATGACAGAATTACCCTCAGATACTTTTTTTCACATAGATGATACTATATTCCAATACAAACCTTTTAAAATTTTTGTTAAAAAATAAAACTCCTGATTGCATGCGGGCAAAAAAAAGGTTTTGTAGGTATGTCTCTGTAAAATAACGTTCTTGGCACTTTAATGCAAAAAAGGTATTTATTAGTTTTCTTTCTCAGTTAGTAGTGTCCATTGTCTTCTAGGGTGCTACAGCAGCTGTGAGGACATGCCAGGAGAGAATGACAGACCCTGGGTCAGGCACTTTTGTAGTTGAAGAGAACAACCATCAAGAACAAGCTCTGTGATGTACTAATTGTGACATTAATTAATATGAATTAAAAGGAATCCCCAGCTGTTACGCTTTTTAAATCATTTACTTTGGCAGCTAATTAATGAAATTGCTGCTCTCCACATGTGTTACAAAGAGAAGCACACCATTAATTACTCCATCCTGCATCAGTATATAATACAACTGTAGCAACATGATGGAATCCTAACAGATTATTTCAATCTTATCTATCGATGTACAAACAATACTTATGACCAAATGATATCTTCAATATTCTATGAACATACAGAACATTTTTATCAATCCTTTAATTTGCAGTCATCAACCAGACTAAGGCACAAAGTGTACAGATAACATCCATTTTCTAATAACTTTATCCAATTCAGGACCACAGTACGACATGACATTATGAGAGCAGCCAATTCAGGAGCCTATCCTGGCAAGCAATGAGCACAAGGCAGGATACAACCTGGACAGGACACCAGTCCATTGCAGGGCACACACTGACACGCCCACACCTCAGCCAATTTTCCCAGAAGCAAATTAACCTAGCAGCATGTTTTTGACTGTGGAAGGAAACTGAAGCAACAGGAGGAAAGCCCATACAAACACAATGAAAACATGCAAACTCCACACCGACAGTACCACAGGTTCAGAATTGAACCCAAGGCCCCAGTACTGCAAAGCAACAATGCTAACCACTGTGCCACTCTGTCACCGGTACAGATAACAGCCTTCTCCATTTCAATCACTGCTCCAGGTACACATCATCAGCAGAAAAAAAACCCAAACTAGCAGAGGATCCAGAAAACCAAGGCGACTTGGAGTTTCTCTGTGCAGCGCCTCTTTTATAGTTCCTATTCAACATCCTTCTCACCCACAGAGTCACAAATCCTTTCAGGGAATTCAGAATGATTTCACTATAAACAAGAGGGACAGTGGTATAGAGGAGCCTTTCATTCATGTGATTTTCTGGTTTCTAGAAACAAGGAAATCCAGGGACACATTTTCAACTCTTGTATCGCTATCTTAGGTGGCTTCCTGTAGAAAAGTCCCCGCCATCTCATATTTACAGAAGAAATACCATCCCTGCTTATGTTGCTTTGCACTTCAGTTTGTATACAACTCGAAGAGCATGTCAGTTTGACCTTAGAAATACTAGGTGCAGGAAGTAGCAGACAGGGTTTAGGAATAGGGTAGTGAAAGCGCTGACGAATGAAGACATTCAAGAAGAGCTGTTTCCCTTTCAGGAGGCCTCACTCCTCTGTCTGGCGACAGCTTGGGTCTTTGACTCTCATCCTCTCCCCTGGTGTTCTGCCTTATCAGTTTTCTGGAGAAATGCTTGCCTACCCAAAATCCCCGTCTGGTTTCCCTGGCTTTCGTTCACAGTGGATACCGAGATCCACACCTGTAGTCCAGCTGGAATGGAAAATTGTGCCGCTTGGTGCCAGCTTTCTTTTCCTCTAAGTGCTTATCTGACATGGAGGACTCTTGGTTGTTAAATACTGAAATAATCACGGTCAAAGGGAGATTGAGTCCATGCAGTCTTGACAGCATAATATAACACTTACATTTTAAGATCAAAACTTTATCAAGGAATGATGACCTTGAAAATAACAATACATAGGCTAAATAATAATTCTCTTTTTGCAGCTTTACAGCACACAGATATGGCCTTTTTTCATGAACTCTGTGATCCAAAAAAGTACAGAATTTATTTTAAAAAGAAGACCTGAATTTGTCTGATAACCTGAATTATCTGGTTCACATATTTGAAGGTTAACTGAATTTACTAAAACTGCACAGGATTCTGCCCTCAAGAACTCACCACCAGAGGTAACGTGTTTTTTTTTTTGGCATCTTACCTGAGATTACTGGGCCAGTCTTACGCACAGTGAATTACGCTCACCCTGAGACAAACAACTTCAACTTGATCCCTTCCGTTTTCTGCTGTGCCTGTCTTGCACACTCTTAACACCTTCAATTTTAAAAAAGCCTTTATTCCTAGACAAGACTGTACCCTGCTAAGTCAAATGTTGTTCCTGTAACAAACCATATAAAACAGTACATCGAAGCAAGAAAAGGGGTTGTTAAATTCACCAATGCATATTGTAGACTGGTACTTAACAGACAGGTACCATTGTAAATTATAATAAAGGATTGTACAAGAATGAATTTTGGGGCATTGCAATTTTTTGTGTAATGCAACCATACCTGAAGTCACCCTGTTTCATGAATATTTTTTAGATCAACTTGATTGGTTAAATGGCTTGTATTTTTTCATAGTCTATCTTCTGATGGGGCAGTTTAACTCATGATTTGCCGTGCTGCTACAGTCAGGAAAAAGCAGGTGTGTCGCAATTGACTGACTGATCTTCTTCCTCAGCCTGGTCTGCTGGGGCAGTGGTGCTGCAAAACCGAACACAAGACATGTCAGCAACACCTTCAGGCAAAACGCAGCACCAATGGCCGTCTCTCAT